CCTATAAGTATCATCTTTTGAGCCATCCATAGTTTTCTTAATGCAGCATTTTTTAAATTATTAAAACATGAAAAGCAAACTGTGTACTTTATCCAAAGAGCAAGGAAATTAGAGGGAAAAAAATCATAATTCTAAATTGCACTTTATTTTAGAGATATTTATATGAATAATAAGGGTTTCTTTTAAAATGACTGAATATGATAATAAATTTTATCAATTCAATTTTTTACTAATTTACTTACATATATACATTTCTGTTCATGAAAACTGCAACACGTGTAAATAAACAAAAGCTGAAAATATAAAGCAAGGTATAGCATACAAATTATGAACTTTCAGAATGATAGCAGATGCATGAGCTGAATAGTTTCCTATGAATTGTCATGTTAGCCAGGTAAATAAAGAGCTGTAGTGGACATAAAAAGTAGTATTTCATAATTTGCCAATGGTAAATATTTCATGAGAAATCACTGTGCCTTTCTTTGATGACAGATTTCCCAATATAAGTAGGTTGTGTTGTTTGAATGGGATGAAAAATAACTGGCCTGTGAACAAAACAAGAGGATTTTTCTCCCATGAAATCACAGCTCATATGGAGCACAATGCCTCATTTTAGTGGTATATCAAAGCAGTGGGTTCAAGAGAACTGAACAAGTCACTGATCTAACAGTGGATCATGAAATAGATGCCAATACAGTGTGACAGACACCTCATTTGTATGATAATGATGGACTTTACAGCTTCATCTTGACAACTGGCATAATGTCGGAGCACTGCTACAGTGCACCATTGTCTACCTCAACAATGCTAGTATTTACTGCCTTATGGATTCTGTGCTTGCATGCCTTTGCACTGGATTTTCTTGATGCAAAACTATCAGTGTCTTTGGCTACTGTAGGCTCTTCAGCTCAGCTACTGACATGCCAATTGGCAGCAAGTAATATTTTTAGATGAATCCTTTTTCAGGTTGGAATACAGCAATGTTCAAGTATGCTTTAGACACTGCAGGTCAATATAGTCTTTCAGTATGCATTATCCAGCATCATAGTGAATAATAGCCAAACATGGAAAACTATTGCATATGATGGGCAGTCTTGTTGCTTAGAATCTAAGGTACTCTTGCCATTCACCATTTTATGAATGAGTTGTAGAGCCCAAAAGTGTATCCTTCATTTATAGCCTTCCTGGAGGTGTATATCAGTATGAAAAACCTTCTTTTGAGCCTGCCGGATGCAGTGTTTCTCATTGCTTGCTAATTCACTAGACATGTCATGGGTTGAACATGTCTGAGAACATGTACACCATCAGTTCACCAACGAAAACAGTCCTGCATCCAGTATGGATCAATTTTAAGTTCATATAGAAGCATTAGTATGGAATGATATTTCGTGGGTGACATCTAGAATATGTTCAATTCAGTGATATGATAAATATGAGCTGTTATTGCAATGCTTGACATTTTCATCAAACGCTGATTTTTGGCATTTAACATTCTTATATTGCTCTGTAAGTGTAATTTTTCTTTGCATCACTATAGGTCATGGAGAGTAAATTGCATTCAGATCTAAATTTCCTTTATGGTGCTGAAGTTTTCGCAAACTGAAGTGTATATTTTAATTGGAAGTTTGCATTTTATGTGGTATATTTCTCATCCTAGTTTTTGGAAACCAAAGTAAAAATTAGTGCACTTTATAAAAGAGTAGTGTAGATTTTTTTATCTTATGCTTGAGAAAGAGCAAACAAGACTTGAGAAAGTTTTAGTTATTAGGCTGGTAAAGGAATTTAGTGCAAGTTCCACTTCTTTGAAATTAGTGATATATTTCCAGGCTGCCTTTAAATGTGTTATTTTTAAGATAGCATATTTATTTTTTTGTAGGGAGCTTTGTTAGTCAGATTTTAAAATAGTTACAATGTTATGTGTTTAGAAAATATTTACTGTATGATTTGACTGCATTGATTTTTTGATAATTATTCCCTAAACTTAATATGATGTATAAAAAGAGTCATTAACTTGAACTCATACAAACACATTCATATGTATCATACTTGGTATTACTATTTTTAAAAGCAAGAATTCCTTTTTGTCAAAAGTGGAGCATTAAAATTCAGTTTTGGGAAGAATGTTTAGTTAAGTAATTACAATAGCCATCTTTTATTGTGCATACATAGGAAAGAATTCTCTAGCATATAAATGTATCTTATTTTGCATCATACATCATAAATGTGCTATTATGATTTGGATGATTTAATTAATTTATTATTAATAATCCATATTTATTATTATTATATTAATTATTTAATAATATAGATTGTTTAACTGTTGTGGTGTTTAAGTGAGCATACTTACCAATTAAACTTGACTGTATTTATACTTACTATGAGACTTCAACATTTGGAAAAATTTCAGAAAATGCCTATAGTGCAGGTCTGATTGAAATGTAAAAAAATATTACCTAGTCCCCTTCAAAGTACCATTCATTAAAACTATATTTTCTCAAGATCTCCTGCCATTCCTGGAAGCCTTGGTAGAATGTCTCTTTTGGTATCCATCATTAACTAGTCATTGTAATGTTTTGAATATCTTGAAATGTAGGAAAACATAGATCCTGTAGAACCATTTTGATGAAACAGAGCAGTAAAATCAAAGGAAGAAAACTGGCTAATAAAATGGTTATGGAATGAGAGAAATCTGTTTCTGATTAAAGAAATCCAAGTTTCTTTATTCAAAATGTGATTGGTGGTTTATGCAGTTATATGAATTGTATTTTCACAGATGATATCACTAGGTATGCTTCTTCTATCGAGCTAATACTCTCTAAAAACAAATTTAGTTATTATTTCAAATTTTTGCACATATGGCATGAATATTCTGTGAACTTTTTCGAGTATTGTATAATGCATAACATTTAAGATTTATATGTAACTTCATGCAAGCACAGTAGGTATCCTAGCAAGTTATTCATATAAGTACTATTGTACTTGTAATTGAGGTTTTGCGTGTTTATTTGAAAAACACTAAATATTAGTTTTCATCATTTTTTAATGATGAAAATTTGTTAAATATATGTATCAATGTTTTTAAATGTATGTCTCATCCTGTCAGTGTTAAAACAATTCAAGTAAATTTGTGCATATAATTTATGATAAATGTAATTGTTTACATATAAAAGCAACTTCATGGAATCATCTCTGAAACTGTGAGGACTTGGAACTCATGTAATCTAATAACAAGAATCATAATTTCTTGTACAATTTTGGAGGCTACGTTAGTATCACATTGCACCTAATGTTCCACTATACTGATATTGGGTATTAGCATAGCAACAAGGAAAGTATTATAAAAATATTTCAACATGTGTTGGTCCAATCTTTATTCAGTGCACTTGTTGTTTTTCAAAAAGTTAATGGGAAATACTAAAAATGTTTTTTGGACTTTCAATAGATGTCATTGAGGAAATATTTCAGATATATCTACCTATCAAATCATGAGAGGTTCAAGGTAATGCAAGAAACACATAATTAGTAACTTGGCATTTTATCTCATATATTCCTCCAAATCCAAGAAAAAAGGAACTACAATGATGACATATATAGTTTGCTGCTCCCTGCCCCCCTTAAAAAAATGCAAATGGCAAGAAAATTAGAAATGAGATTGCGGTGTGAGAACTGCAATGTTGGTTTGTGCATGGAACTTTGTTTCAAAACATGTTATGCACAAAAAATATTAAATTTCTTTATTTTCATATTACAGTATGTCAAATATGCTGTATCTTAATGAATATGATAAATGTTTTGTATAATGTATAAAGGACAGTTATAATTTTTTTTTTTTTTTACTTTTTTCTTAATTCTTTCATTCTCATATCATATTCCTTTTATGATCTTTGCATTTCAAATCTACTCATGAATAATATTTTCTCATGATTTTATAATGCAAATATACAAAATGATGTGCAGCCAGAAGGTTAAGTCATATTAGCTCGAAGGTTAAAGCATTCAGCTAGCAGTGAGGTAATCTGAACATAAAAATATACATTTTAGCTTAGCTTTAATTTGTTGAGCAATTTTGCTTGCTTACATTTGAAATGCAGCTGTGGTTAGTGTAATAAGTTAAGCAAAAATTAATCATTTAAGGTGTGTTTCATCACCAGAAATTGTAGTAAGACTGATAAAATTGTGTTTAATCATGAAAAATGTCAAATGTTAGTTGCTATATAGCTTTGTCATTATGATGCTTATTGTGCTATCCAAAGTTCATCCTTGTCGTTGATACTCAAAGTTTAAAACTGTACATTCAGATCAGTTACAGAATTAATTGTTTGCATAACTGTGAAGAAAGGCATGAACTAATCTTAAGTAAATCTACACTATAGTGATATTGTCCTTTTTTTACTCCTTTTATGTGTAATGTTATTTAATTTTTAAGTAAAATAAAGGGGAAGAGAATTAATCTCTTTAACTTCAAGAATGATGATAAAAAATTTGAAAAAGTTTTTTTTAGAAGTCATTATTTGGATGTGGGGGAATATTATGTAACTTCGGTTGATTTTTTTTTAATCCTTTATAAATGTATTCTACTATAATTAAATGTTTAATCTAATCTTTGACTTGAAGAAAAATCCATTAACTGTTTTGAAGATTATTACATTATAGTTTTTAATAATAGCCCTTTAGCGCTTAACAATCTAAATACTGTTTATACGAAAATAAGCCTTTTTTAAAATTTACTGTTAGCTAAAAAAAAAAAAAAATGTGATAATTTTCTTCAGTATTTTTGTGTTATAAAAAATTCAGTCATCTTGTTTATCTATTAACTTGAATAAAGTAACAAAATAGGAATTTCTTTCCTGCGTATAATGCAGCTTTACTTTTTTAGCATAAATTAATTTTGCATCAGTGATTTATAACTATAAAGCTCATGCGTTATTCTAAAATGTACTAAAAATTGTTTATATTTCATTTTCTACTCTTACTAACTTTTTATTCATCTCTGAGCACAGCTACCGATTTCTGTTCTTACTCAACCCCAATGTATTCTGATGCTACTACTCCACGGACCACTGCACCAGAAGATAGAAATCCTGACACAGTAACCACGCCCCCACAGCGTCCTATATCCCCTGGTTCTGCTTTTTACACTCCATCACTAGATGCTTACATGGAACCTAAACTTAATGTTGGCCATTCACACACTCATCATCGAGCACAATCTCCAATTGAGGAAGACTCATACCCTGTTTTTTCTCCTCCACCTTACCCTGCTGCATTGGAGGCTCTGCAATATTTGCCAGAATATCTTCTGCACTGTGGTTACAGCTCGCAGCTGTTGGCAAGGTGTTATCCAAATTTGCTGCGCTTTCGTCGCTCCCGCTCTTCATCTGCTCCCTCAACGCATCATGCATGTAAATAATGTGATTGTGTCATCAGCTTAATGCCAAATATCACTCAGAGTAATACAAATTTTTTAGATCAGATACAAATGCAAAACTTTGATATGTAATATTAATAATATTTTGGAAATAATTAATACATACTTTCCCTATTTTTTGTCACTTATGCGTAGATTGGCATCCTTTAATGTATGCAGTGTATGTATTATTTCAGTGCTAGAACTTTTCTTACTACTTTTGATTTTGTCATAAGTAGTTAGCATGCATGTCAAAGTTTTTGTTCAGATTTTCCTAATGCTTTGATCAATAAATTAATGGTAGTGAATGGTAAAGAAAATTACTAGACATGCTCTAATAAATATGCATAAATAATAATAAACATACAGAAGATGCAACAAGTAATTTATTATTAAGCTCAATTAATTATTAATAAATCTATTTTGTAAAATTGCTAAAAATATGCCTTTATTAGTTCAAATCTTTGTTTGCTATTCTTTTTGAATATGTATAATGCTAATAATTTTTATTCTTTAATTCTAGGCCACTTTTGATAATTTGTGAAATTACTGCCATGTAAACATAGATGATACAATAAAAAAATAAAACTAAGAAACTAATACTAACATAAATAAGAAACTAATAACCAAGTATAACAAAGAAACTAATACTACAAACTAATACTAAAATATTAAGAGGCATACTTGCTTTTCTAATTATTGGCATTTGTTTTCCAAAGATAATTTTCTACGATTTTGAGAATTTTGTAAAATATATTTAATTTAAAGGATGCCAAACAAGAATAGAAGATGCATTTAAAAATTGTGTTAGCTTGACAAGCAACATAATAAAGGAATTGTCATAATGTATAGGGCTTATTCTCTGAGTGATATTCATTTCTGCTTCAGAAGAGTTGGCCACCAAGTTTGCACTTCTGCGCTTCTACCTTTTGCTCTAATTTTTCATCATTAGCTTGCTTTAAATTAGCAAGAGGAACAACACTAATGTATTCTAATTGAAACTATTATAGTTTTAAATAAGGTGCATTGAAAATATTGTTTCTCTTGTTTAATTTATTCTGTGCAAAGTCTGTAATGACTGATAGTTTATTTTGCTTTTTATACAAAGGCCATGGCAGTTTTTTTATTTCATTTTATATTTTAGCTCATCTCAAGACTTTTTCATTCTTCTCTATTGTAGCAGTCTTTCTTTTAGGGGAATGTATTATTTTGTCTCATTTGAATGTATAAAGCATATCTTCTGTAGAAATCTCATCTTCTGGTTATTATTTTTTCTCATTATATTGTTCTTCTCTTTTAGATACTTTACTCTGAACTCTCTTACTGCTGTTATAATTTTGTTGTAGTGTTTCTATTTTCAGATTAATGTTGGTGGCAGTATTTTTGTATTGTAATATATTTATTTGTGATCATGTTTTGTGTGGATATAATATTTTGTCGACAAAATACTGATTCAGACTTTTTTAATGTTTTATTTAATAAATAGTTTTATTTTAAAATATTTTAGAAATATTAATAACATATAATGTACAAATAAATTTGCTAAAATACAGAGGATTCATATTAGAAAATATCTTTTAATTTTATTGCTTTCATATCTATTTGATACTTGTATAATTTTTCATTTGGATTTCACTTCCTTTTAAGCTTCATAGACAATAATTGATTATAATATTTAACCTTTTTTTTTTTTTTTTTTTTCATGTCATGTGTTCTTCTCAGTATAATACCTTTCTAGAGGTGGATGTTAAGAGGTGATAATTACTGTTTTCTCTAATAATCTACGTGTCCATAAATTAATTGTCAGACTCAAAAAAAAAGAAGCAAAAATCGTGGTTATTACACCTAACCATCTTATGCCTTGGTTTAAACTTGAGTGCATAAAACCACTGATCAACCAGTAAAATTTGGCTAGTTTAACAAATATTATCAGGAATTATTTTATATTGATAGTCCGTGTAGAAGCTCCTCTGTCTAAATTTTCTATCGTAAGAATTTCCATCATGTTGGCTGACTAGCATTCTGACCTTATCAGATTTGAATTCTTTGACTTAATTAAATGTTTATCCTCTTTTCATGTAGATGCAATTTATTGTCTTCGAATTTGGTTTAATATTTATTGGAAAACTAAGAATCCAAATAGTTCTGTATGAAAGAGATGTGAATAAAACTTTTAATTATTGTTGTTCTCTGAACTCTTTTTCAGTCTTTGCAAGCTAAATCATCCACAAAACTTGCTGACTTAAATTTTCTTAAAGTCTACTTTAGTCAGATCTGTTAGTTTACATTAATGTTTCAAGTTTCAGTATTGAGTATAAACTATTTTCAAACCTTTTTTTGTTATAGAGGGGGAGTTTAACTCCTTATAATTTCCTCATATACTATATCATAACACTTATTCACGTAAGTTAGAGTACTAACAAAATAACTAAAGAAAAAATACTTAACATTGAAAAAAACGGCAAAAAATTTAATAGTTAAATAAAAATTAAAATTGAAAAAATCAAAACTTAAATTCAGAATGCAATTCCAAAAAGTGGAGATTTTCTCTTTAATCTGTGAAAGGTCAGAAAATATTGGTGGCAATAGAGATTCCCTTGGTGTTTCCTGAAGTATTGTCCTCTGCTGAACGTGGTGAACACACTCAAGAAGAATATGATTAACATTATCATTGCCACTATTGCGGTTGTGCAGAGCATTTAAAGCAAGTCTAAGCTGCATTAAATAACTCTTAAAATTGTCATGTCTTGATAAAATTTGAGTAAAAACTTTTTTCTTTATTTGAAACATTTATCTCCTTATTTTTCCTTCTTTTTTTTCAAAGAAATCACACTGAATATTCTTATGTTATTTTACTAAATTCAAATTAGTTTATAGATAGTTATTATTTTCTGCATATTTTATTTTCAAAATGGGACATGTTCAAAACTAACCATATTGAAAGCTGACAAATAGATATTTAGATTTTTAAAGTTCATTTAGCCCATACATGTTTCTTTTTTTTTCTTCTTCTTCTTCTTCTCTCTCTCTCTCTCTCTTTTTTTTTTTTTTTTTTTTTAATATTTGAGCACTGTGTCGTGACAAATTTACATATGATCAGGCATCTACAAATAAGGGTTATAATAGTTATATTGATTACTTTTTCCTTATACAAACTATAAAAGAGCACTTAGTGTATTTCAGATCTGTTCATACGTAATAAAGAAGGAAATATAAAGCATATCAATATTTGATGTATGCTTTATGAAGAATCATAAAAATAATTGTCAGTAACTAATTATATTTAAAAATTTTTATGTAGTTATGATTAAGCGTGTTCCAAGTAATTGTACATATCATCTTTAATTTCAAAATTAGTTACAACTTGAAGTAACTAATACATCTATAAAGAGGGAAAAATATATACATGTCCTCCTATAGGGACCTAAGAACAGTGTGTTTCCTTTTTCTTGAACTGTTTGCTTTAAAGGAAAATATTTCTTCTGTGTCATATTTCATTAGGAATTTCATTGCAGTTCGGAGTCTAATCTTATGATAAAAATGCATCCTCTGTACTTTTTTTATTTATTTTATGGAATTTCACACTTTCAATAATTTTAATATATTTTCTCTTTAAGAATAACTGAAATGTTAAATAGCATGAGTTTTAAATTTCTTTTATTTTCTAACTGAATTTTTTTGAAGCATATGAATTCTAAATTTGAAGTGTTTGAAACTAATTGAAACTTTGCCTGCCTTCAGCTATTCGATCTGGGGACTATTACATGTTCGATGACTTCTCAGATGATGATATAGATCTAGAGTTATCAGCAAGACATAAACGTGGAGATGAGGATGATGAAGATTCTGCAGAAGTTAAGGAAAAAGGTCTCAATGCTGTAAGTAAATTGTAATTTTTATTTTATTATTACAAGTTACTGTTATAAAACAAGAGTTCATATTTCATTGCATAATTTATGTACTAAAACACTTGATTTAAACTTTTATCCTTATATACTTTTTTCTTTTTACTCCATCTACTTCCAATGAGTGAGTTTTTAAACACACTCTGTAAATTTTGATAATTTTATCTTATCTTTTATTATATAAAATTTTTTTAATAATTTATGAGTTGTTGTATTTGGTGATTGTTTTCAGTAATATTATGTGTGGAAATTTTAATAAAGCTTTTATATTTTTCTTTCATTTAATGATTTCTATTCTGATGTGTAAAACTGTTTATTTTGTTTGTTTTTTAAAGCTGTTAAGCAAAACTATTAGAGGAAACCTTAAATTAGTGGATGAGCCTAGAAAAGAATCTGGAGAAGTGGATGATATTGAAGATTCAAGTCAACAATCTGCCATTGTCAGTGCTGATCGAGACGGTGTAGCTTCATCTTCGCAGGTTTGCTTCGTAATATAAAACTCTTAAGTTTATGATATTGTACGAGTCAAATAGAAATTATATCCATATTTTAATGTATATAAAGTAGACATCACTTAATGTGATCTCATTTGTCCATGGCTATTTTGATAATATTAACCAAATGATGGCACATTAAATGATGAGAAAAAATATGCTTTGAAATAACAATGGAACTTAACTAATTTAAAATAAAAATATCAGGAAACGCATGAGTAGGTATTTTCACAAGTGGTTTTTTTTTTTTTTTTTTTTTTTTTTTAAGGAAAATGCGAAAGTTTGTTTATAAACTAATTATAATGTCTTTAATGCAAAAGATCATTTATGAACTCTTCATAACATTTCTAGAAATTACTTGACTGATGCTGAATCGCTAATTTTAATATTAAGAAGGCATCCCTCATTGGAAGAAAACATGCCAGTGTAAAATTTTAAACTAAGCAAAAAAGCAACCTTAGTTTGTCTTTGATGTCTCCATGAATTTTTTTTCCCCAGGGAAAAAAAGTTTTTGCAGAATTTTTTCACTCCTGAAGAAGAAAGACTTGTGTCTGATCACCTTCAGAATCAATAGAGTTATTCAAAATTTAAATCAAACTAAGGGTGCTGCTTTATTTTAGAAGTAAAGAACAACATTTAAAAATAAAAGTAAATTTATAGGTTGACTGAAATTAAAGCCAAGCTGTTTGGCAATTAAACCCTTTGCTTAAGGACATTTTTCTGTCATTTGGCAAATCTGATATTATATTTTGATTTTATTTGATAAATTTATCTTTTATTTGGTGACTTTAAAAAATTTATTCTACATTAGTTTGATCATAATTATCTGAATTGTCGGTTACAAAAAGCAATGTATATTCCATGTTATCATGCACGGACAAGTGGGCCTTTGTCGAATTGATAACAATATCTGAGTGAAAACATTAACCGTGATCAAATTAAGCAGTGGCATATAAATAGTACACATAAAATAAAAATATGTAACTAAAAAATCTAATTTAAATTTACGATAGTCTGTTAAGTCTTAATTTTAATTTGGCTGTTTTCCTTTCTGTTCTTAAAGTAGTAATTGCTTATAACAGATTTTTCTGGACTGTCAGATTAATCCATATCATATGAGTTTTACATAATGCTAATGACTAAACAAAAGCAGCCAATAATAATTTTAGATCTTTAATAAACAACCCATCAAAATGTTATTGAAATTGTAACTAACCCACTCTGAATTAAGATTTCATCCTGAACAGATTGCACTTTGCTTCTGCTTTTCATCCTATGTAGACCGCTACTGTCTGCTCACTTACTAAAGCAATATCAAAAATGTAAATTTTATTTTCTGGAACAGGCACAACAAGTGTGCCAAGTTTTTCGTAGTCACAAATATCAATTAAAATAGAAATGAATATTTAAATCTGCAAGCTGATTTTATTGCATCTTAATGACTTCAGGTATTTTTGAGTATGGGTCAACATCTACACAATCAACTACTATTTCAAGTTGTTACATATATGTATGCTTTATTATTCATCTGCATTTTTCACAACACTTTACTTCACCTTTTGTTATATTCTTGCTATAATTATGACTTCGTATAAAATATGAATGTTATGTATCACTTTAAATTCAAATATAAACTTTTATGCTTTTCAATTTTGAACATGGTTGTATTCTACTGTGGTTAAAATAGTAGAATGTAGATTGTTTGTTTCAGTTTCCTAGTGTATTTTATTGGCTTACTTAATTATGGCAAAGAATATCAAAGCTATCTGTCTAAGAAGAGTAGGACTTTTAATGAAGAATTTTAAAAGGTTTTGGTTTATATTTATGTTATATGTGAGGAAAACTTAAAATCCCATGTAGTTAGTTAGCCTGCACAAGAATAGATGTCTGAGTAAAACTACTAGTGTTTAGTTATATTTATCACTTAACAACTTGTGAGCTATCATCTCATTCGAAGGGTTGGCTTGTGTGATATTTTCAGTGCTACAAAATGTAACATAAATGTAAACCATTTTTTAAAGCTGCATATAAATTCCTTTTGTTATTATGCAGCCACTCATAAAATATTTTACCATAGTTTATTGGGTAAACTTTTGAGCAACTGTAAATACAAATGTAAAAGTAATGCCAGAGTTTAATTTCAGAAACTTTTATCATTCTTTATTTTTTTCCATGTCCTTCTCAGATTTGAAGGTTGATTGTTACATCAAAATGTTTAATTTATGCACTTTTTATCTTATTAGAGTAAGATCTAAATCATATTTAATTCAAATTTATATCATTTCATATATTGTACACCATATTTCTCATACTATAATATGTATTTTGATTTATCAGATTAGAATTTATAAAAAATATTTGGATCAGAACAGATGAGGATCAACATAACTATTTTAATAATAACATGTTATACAATGAAAACAGAACAGTTACATTAAAAAAACTTAGTAAATATACTAACGTTTGTTCATTGTAGAATCCTAGAAATTCATTATTCCTAAGTCATTTACCCAGTTAGTTTCACTTTGGCTGTCACTGCCAATGAATTTCTCACTTTCCTTATACACAATCCCATTTTAATTTTCATCTGTTGCAATGGTAGTTTCACACTTTTTAAAAAGACTTGATAGTCTCACTTTCAACTTTAGGCGAAGATTTTTTTTTCACCCATCCATATATAAAATTGATGGCCTATATCTTACTTTCTATAAAATTACAGCTTCATACCCTCTTCATCTATCCATCCTTTGGGATGAACATCATATAAGTTCCATATGGAATTGTACATTTAGGCAGCATTTTTCATTTAATGATTAACAAAGGAGAGAATTTTAAACTGTCAGCACAGCACACAAAATTACCAGTATAGTACATCTCTTCATTAACAATAGTCTTTATTATTTAATAATTTTAATTTGCAATAATAAATTTTATGACTACAAATTTTAAATTTCAACTTGTCACATAAAAAATTACATGAATTAATTTCACCATCCAGCTATTCTGAAAAATCAAATGAAGAAGTACATTTTTAGCAAATTTTTTAAATTCTCTCAAAATATACATTGTTTTAACAGCAATTAGTGCCCATCATCATTTTTCCAATATTATTTTTTCCTTAATTTTTAAATATTACCAGGGTATTTAAATATTGACCCAAATGAATGGAGGGATTGACAAAGTATTTGGTCATCTGGAAAAGTCTGCAGTTTTTCAAATTGAAGTGCATTTTCTTCTAATTATTTTTTATTGCTGTTAAGAAGTGATCTTGATCAAAGCAGTTCTACCATGTATTGTCACATAATTTTTGTTTCATTGCAGTGTTAAGAATGGAGAACCCCAAAGATCATTTTCCTCATATTATGCTCTTTTGTTTTAGAAGAATGGAAAAACGCCATTCAGACTGTTTGTAAAATTTGTGTTCCATATTGAAAAAGTGCTGTTTCTTACAACACAGTTCAAAGGTGTTTGAGAAGTTAAAGTATGGAAGCTCCAGACCCAAGAATAATTATCCCTTTATAAACAATGACCTATTAAAAGAAACTATCACTGAGAATCTACATTATATAGTTCAGAAATTATCAAATAGTATAAATATTCCAAAAAAATACAATGCCTGATCATTTAACAAAAATTGAGTTTGTAAGCTGCTATGATATATGGATATCCAACACTTTAACAGAACAGAATATGCTTGCTTGAGTCTTAACATGAAATGACTTTTTATGAAATGGCTGTCAGTACTGGAGACGAGAAGTGGATACTGTATAATAATGCTACTTGCAAAAAATCATAGAGTAGGTCAAATGAACCTTTTTTAGTGTTGAGAGAGTTTGTATCTCAAAAACGTAATGCTTTGTGTATAGTTGGACTACAAAGCAATTCCATACTATGAATTGTTGTCATTAGAAAAAATGCTGTTCCCTAAAAGGCAGTTTTAAAAAATGAAATTGAAGCAAAACACCCAGAACTGACCAGTCATTTAGGTTTTGCTTTCTTTTATAACATTTCTTGACACTAAATTTTATGAATGGCAGACAAAGAGTTATTAAGAATGGCAGGGATGCTTTGTGTCACCTCTCCCCAATATTCACCGGGCCCTTACACTCTGAGATTTTCATCACATGAGATCACTTCAGAATTATCTGAATAGCCTATTTTTTTAGACTGTCAAACAATACTTCAGTATGTAATTAAATGAAATTTTCTTATGTTTTTGCAATGCTTCATTTCTAATTATTATCAAAAATCTGCAGAACTTTACAGATGACTTAATAGAATGGTTATATATACTGAAAAATGCATCATTAAAACATTTGCTTTTACAAATATTTTAATTTGTTTAAAGCATTTTGTTTGTGTTGTTTCAAACATTTTATTTCGTAAATGTTTTACGTTCTACTTAAAGTTCTATTATAATTATGTGTGACTTTGTAATTGCTTAAATGCCTCTTTGTAATTTATTCTGGAATCTGTAGGTCATTAATTATGACTATTTATTTCTAGAAAACTTCTCACAAGTCTCCAGACCCTCTAACTATTACAAGTAGTGGTCCTACTATGAGTCTCTCTCTGCCTAGTTCAGCCTCCTCAACATCAGCGTCTTCTCCCAAAGAAGATACAATTGCTCCTGTAAGCCCACAAGATGTTAAGCTATTAGAAGAGGATGATATCAAAGAAGGTTTGCTTATTATATTAATTCTGCATTTCAAGCTTAAATTTGACTTTTGAAACACTTTTATATTCAGTTTGTAAAAAATATTGATAAAGTTTTGGTATAACGTGCAGCTTGATGTTCATCTGTACTTTTTCACAGACAAATTAAAGATTTTGAAATTCTCACCAACCTAGTATGTTATGCTTAATTCTGCACCTGAATTAAATGATTAATGGATGCAGAAATGTTTCATTTAAATTTTTGTTTAAAAGTTAGATTGGCAAAATATAGCTAAAAAATTAGGTAAGGTAATGGGAATTTTTTTTTTTTTCCAATTTCAGAGACATTTGTTGAAAAAATAAAAAGATGGTATGCTTTCTTCTGTGAATTTATGAATAGTGTTCTTATCAGTACGACTGCAAAGCTGAATGCAGTTTCAAAAGATTATCGTTTTGTTGCCAGACAGCTGTCTAAAGAGAAAAAATTATTGAAAGAACGGGTAAGAAAATATTTAGAAGTATTCTGATTACAAAATATTATTACAAAAATTTGTAATAAACAAACAAGAAGATTTTATTGTTTTATTGCTTTTTTATGCATGCATTTTATGAAAAATGTAATTTTAGTCCAAAGGGCTTTAGCTCAGAAGGGCTATTAATTTCATTTTGGCATTTTGTGTCGAAAACTTTGAAAGTCTGAATCACTTTTCAAATTGTTGCCACCAAATATTGTCACCCTGTTTTATATTTAAAGAAATTAAATAATGAAGAATATGCATAAATGTATGTATGTTTCTCTCATTGTAATAAAACAACGATACCTACAGCCATCAAATTTTGAATAACGTACGTCTCCACTCGAATATGGGCATCTGGAAGCCCGAATTTGGAATTTGTTTTATCTATTTCATATTTTGTAATGCATATAAATGCTCTTCAAGTTTCTTAAAATATTTTTAAATTCTCAAATCATAATTTGTAATTTTTTGTTTTGTTTATATCTTAAATCATATTTTGTAAAGCATACAAATGCTTTTCAAGTTTCTTTAATCATGTTTCTTAATCAAAAACTCATAAAAATTTTTGATTAAGGAACTCAATTTCAAAGCGAGCAATGCTACTACTGTATGGGGGGGAAAAGTTTTTATCTACAGTGTGTAAGACTGTGTATCAGAAATTATAAGATACACTCTTTTTAAATTCTTTTGCAATATTGCTATTGAATTGAATTTTATGGTTAAAGTGTGAAGAACATGATATTTAATAAATAAAGGTAAAACACAAAACATTAAAAAAAGCCCCTTTGGGTGTAATATAATATCTGAAAGCTTTCATTTTTCTTTCCCTTTTCTTTTTCCTTTTTTTAAAAAAGTAAATAGCATTCTTTGTTCCATTTTTCTTCCAATATTAATTAAGAGCAGTCACTCTAGTAATATATTTATTTTAGTCAATTCATTATTTTGAAATCAGGTCTCTCTGAATCAGAATAATATTCATTAACTTATTTCAAATGCTAAGATTGTAATTCTAGTTCCTCGGATTTGTGTGGAAATGCTTTTGTCAAAAGGTTATGCTGCTAAGAAGATACTGATGATGTGGGAAGTTAAATCAAAACATCACTATATAATCTACAGAAATTATTGAAAAAAAGTTTTATGTTTATAATTTGTTTGTGTTGAATCTCGGTGAACATTGCAAAGCTTGAAAAAATAAGTTATTCACAAAATTGTACTTCTTTAATTCAAAATGTTTAAAATTGCAAGAAATTCTGAAATCTGCTTTTTTCTAATGAATTTGCATTTTACATTAGTATTCCTTAATCACATAAATGTTTTTGTGTATTGTGATTATTATCATTTGATTTTTGCATTAAAAAGTCTAAAAGAATTTATTTCACCTAAAGAACAATATAAAATTTTTTCTCTTAAGGGTAGTAGATTGTATTTAAAATAAGGTACTAATCTAACAAGCTGCTTCAACAGGAAATGGAAGCAAAGAAACTTTTAAGTTCCTTCTTCTGAAGACAACTCCTCTTTTTATAATTACTTCCCAGTTTTTTGGAATATGTGTGAAAGCCCACACATAATGATTTCTTTTACATTGTTATTGGTGTATTGGGTTGGTATATTGGCTATTGGTGTATTGTAAAAAATACATTACTATTAGAATGTTTTTATAATTTCTGTTTCTCAAAATCTCTTACATATCTCTCATATTTCATTTTTCTGGTTTTGGATTTTGTATAAATATGAAGAATCAGAACTTTTTCCTGTTAGCCTTTTACAGTGGGTGTATCATATATGCTTCAGCAGTTAATCTTCTTTCATAACAGCATGCTTAGTACAACTCACCTCGGAGACGGTGGGTTGTTGCAGTAGTACGATCTCGCGAGATGGGATATTTCGCATCGTTAAGCCTAACATTAAATAAATTCATTAAATAAATTTTTTAATCAATTATTTTGATTAATTCTGCAATGGTATCTAACAGTAATATAATCATAAATACAGAATATCGAGATTCTGAAAAAAATTTAATTAAAATCTAAATGCAAAATTATAGCCAAAACTACCATAAACAAAAGACTCATTTGGGCCTTTTAATTAATTTTAATTAACAAAACACAATTAAGATAAAACATTACAATTAAGGGCATTATAATTACACATTTAAGTTACAAAGTAAATCTCGGGGGACAGCATGCTTAGTTCTTGACTCCAGTGCACCGACTGAAGGCTATTATCGTTTTTGGCCGGTGTTTCTTTTGGCGGCTGCTAGGTGGTGCTTATTGAGCCATGAGGTTACAAAATAAAATATTTGACTCATCTTAATGAAATATTGAAAAAAACTTACTTAAATCTATATCTAAATTAATAAAATATGTGATCAAATAGCATAAATGATTCAGAAAGGAGGCAGTGTGTGATAATCTAGTCACTATCATTTCATTAGTTATGAAACACATTTTCAGGTCAAACTTTTTATTTGCATCCCAGCAGAATAATTAATCCTAGGAACCCCCACATTTAGAGGAGTCTTTGGATTTTGGATGAAGATGGATTTTCACTCATTTTTTGTTCATAGAAATTATTAGTTTTTTCAACTACTATATTCATTAGATTATCGCAAAAAATAGGGAAAAAATCAATTTCATTCACATAATTTCTGGTTTGGGAATTAAGTTTACTTCTGCAATTCTCGTAAATATACAAGGCTTCAATTATTCAACAGATCGAGCTCATGACGGAGTACCACTGTTCTGCTGTGTTGTGAGGTAAAAGCAAAACAAACTTCTAATTCAGTCTCTGAGAAAATTTCAGTATCAAAATCTCTATTCTCACTTTTTTCGGTGTCAAATAGTCACTCATGGGCTTTACAGTTTGAATATATTCTTCCATTAAAAATTTCTTTATCTTAGACATCGCACTTTTAATTTAACTATCTTACCTGGTGCAAAAAACATATGTCTGCTATTTAAAGAAGATGCAAACTGAATACAAATCAGAGTTCCTAAAACCACAGCTCCAGTCCCGATCTTCCTATAGGGGCCTCGCCTTTTTCGCCTTGCTTGTTTAAAAAAAAATTGTGAATAAATGTTTCTTATAAAAACATGTAATTGTTATACTACAGGAATAAATAAAAGATTTATTAGAGAAATTATATGTATTCTTGTATGTATGAATGAATGATATGATTCTCGTACATATGAATGACCACGTACTGAATGATATGATATGCTATGTTGTTCTGAAGTGTCTGCATATAGTAATATGATGAAATTTAGAGTTTTTGTCCCAAAGATATAAAGCATTGCATGGGCATATGTGTACACAATCAACCCTTTCCTATTCTACAGTAAAAGAATGAGTAGAAAATTTTGCAGGTGTGGAGAATTCATAGATGATGAATCTCATTGGGAACAATAACCTTAGAAAATATTGCTAGTGTCCAAGATGAAATATTGAGTGACAAGAGATAAAAAATCATAGAAATAGCAGCAAGTTTTTTTTCTGTGTGAAACAATAGTTCTGATCATTCTGCATAAACATTTTCACATGAACCAAGTCTTTGCCTGACCGGTACCCTGACTTCTTTCAACTATTCAAAATGCATGCCAGTGCAGTCCAAAAAGAGTATTGTTAATGTAAAGAGCTTAGACATCTGTCTATATTACAGCTAATATTTAGCTCAAGGTGATTGTTATCTGTTCTACCGAATGAAATCTGACCTTCGTAGAAAGATATTTAATGATGATGATGATGATGGCATATAAAGAGCTAAAGAGCAGTTATGGAATATTTTGAGGACAAACCTGAAGTACTTTTCTAAGGCATACAATTGCCCTCATTAAACACTTTAAAAAGTGTATCAAGGTATAGGGTGGCCAAAATAAAACTGGCCTGGAAAAGTGTTTCAGAATTTCGTGAAAGCATACTCAGAGAAACAAATGGCAGAGAAATCATTATAAATTGGAACAGACATTGTTTAGTGATCAGCTAAGTGCAACACAAAAATGGTACCAATGATAAAGCAATGCATATTCATTTTTGAGTGTTATGTAAAACACAATTCAGCAAAAAGTTTGCAGCGAACTGTTTCTGCAAGAGTTTAAAAATGGAAGTGTCATGGCAAAAACTCCAGTAAAATATGTAACAAAAAAAAAAAAAAAAAAAAAAAAAAAAAAAAAAACTTAATGAAAAAATGGCATGAAGTGGACTCTGTTATGAAGGGCAGTTTTCCTGTTCATCAGCAAAGGTAAATTAAGTGTCAGAATTATACATGTGCTTCATACTAGTTTTATGATGAGATTTTCTGATCAATAAGCAGTGAGATCATCATACAGCTTTCTCAGTTTCTTTTAGATGTCATACCAGGCTGGAAACTTTTGGATCTATGTTTTCGCTATGTTTCACTATATAAACATTCTTCTTAATGATAGTAAAATTTTAAATAAAAAACATCTTCTGTAGTACAATAGAGAATATATTATGTTGCTTAACCAGTGAGAAAGCATAGTAAAATAACAAATACAAGAACATGCAATAAGTAACTCATGCATGAAAGCACTTATTGCATGTTCAGCACCTTTAGATATTTATATGCAATAGAATTCTAATAATTTACGTAATTACTTTAATCCATCTTCAGTATTGAATGAAAACAAACAAAATTTTGGTTTTCAGAAAACTTCTGCATGACCAATTTAATTGTGATTTTTTCTTATTTTAAAGTTAACTATTTAACAAATATGCCATATATTTGTGACATATTTTGATTGGAAGAGCGAATTGATTTTATTACTGAAGTGATCTTATCTGTACCTGTGTGAGTACTGTTTTTCAACAGTAAAGACAGATTGTGAATCTTTTCAAATTTTTGTTTTTAAGTAAATCTCTGCTTATCAATGCATTTTACTCTGTTCTTAAATATTAATTTAAAGTTATATGGTTAATTAATATTAAAATTGTGTAAAATGTTGTTGAGAATTTATTTGTCCACAACATTTCAGATAAGGTAGTCCGACTTAGATGAACTTGTAACTAGTTCATTTACATTCAATGCACCCTGGAAGTGTGTTTACATTGATGATGAACATGGATAGCTTCTTTAAAATATTACCTATGCAGCTTTTCTGTTCTTAAAAAATGGAAAATTTAATGAAGAAAAGAGTATAAAGTACAGAAATTTTGCACTTTAAAAATAATACATGTGTGAAAACATATGGCTATTTTGTAGACATTGAAATAATTATTTCATAAATGTAATTTTTATAATAAAGAACTAGAGATCAGCATAGGCTACAATTCTTATGTTCTAGATAAACTATTCTGTTGCCATTTTGTCCAAATTTCTGTCTTTCAGCAAGTTGGTCAGGATATAATTTAAGTTTCTCTCTGGAAATTTTCTAAGAAATAATCTATTTTCTTTTATTTGCATGTAATGGATTATAACTTTTTTTTATTTGACATGCTAAGTTATAATTATTGTTTTCTCCTAAAAACAAAAAGTAGAAGATGCATTACTTCCTTCTTGTGGCTTCAACAGATTGTATATTTAATGAAGAAAGCTTGTATATGTATCTGTTTGATTTAGGCTGTATATATATTTTTTTATCATACACATATTCTGTGGTGTAAATTTACAGCATATCTTATATTTTGCTAATATTATTTTATATCTGCATTTTTTTAAATCTAGAAATGAAAAAGGACTTAGTGTTGTTAATAGTCTATGGTTTTTATATTTTTCAGTTTATTCATAATGGATCATTTGATATGGATGAAGCAGAATCTGAAATGAAAAGCAGAGAAGTTGAAACTCTTCCTGGGTAATAATCTAAATTATTGCATGGATATTTATCAACATATTTTTATATTTAAATTTTAAATATCAATAAAAATTGTGATAATTTTTTTCAGAAAAAATGAATTATTGGCGATTATAGAAAATATTTGTAATTTATTTTATTGAAAGTACATAAAGTCAAATGCAGTCACAGTAGAAGAAAATTGTCTTTAAATATTTCTTTTTACGTGAGTTTTTCCATTGGAAATTCTGAATACCATCGATTCCTACAGAACTGCTGCCAATTTTTTTTTATAAGAAACTTGGATATAAGATATTTAGTGTTATAAAAAAGAAAAATGGACATTGGGACAGTACTAAAATAAAAGTAATATTATATTCATATGTTTATAAATTTAGTTTTGAATATATAAAAAAGTAACAGTTTTTATTCTATGTTGAAATACATTATTCTCTTTTTTTTTTTCCCACTCTCTTTCTTTTTTTTAAGTTTGGTAAATTTTGAAGTCTGTTTCAAAGTAATGGAAGAGTTTTATTATATGCCAAAATTCAATAAATAAGTATCACTCTTTCTCTAGCTTCCTAACACATATGAGAAACATTCAGTATTTGATGTTATCTTTGGCAGATCAAACTATAGATAAGTTAACTCCAATGACTTCAAGTATGTTTATTATTTTTAGTTGTTCCCAATAACTTTCCTAATCCAGAGTGGAGAAGTGCTTAATGTTTAATAAGAGTAAATAAAAAAAAATTAAAAATTTTATTGGGTCAGTATTTGAGTGGCTCTTTTAATTCCAAAAGTTATTTAAGTCTTTTGGAAAGTTAATGATTTTAGAAGAAAGGAATGAGTGTAAAGCTGATCCTGTCAAATATATGTCTTTTATAAAATTTTCAGAATTAAAAACTTTTATTCAGGATTTTAAACACATAAAAGTAGCATAAGTATTTGAGTTGAAACTCTTTGGAAGTTTTGTGCCTATGTTATTTAAACCATGGATGAGGGAAGAGCATCTTTTCAAGTATTGAAAATAATTGAGAAAGGTATTGAAAGTAGTGAAAAGAATGTTTACTGGCAATATTTTCCCTCCTGAACATATTCTATCAAACTTCTAAAAAAAGAATAGACATTTCTTCATATTTTAAGTACATTTTTCTTTCAGATGATTGAGTTTATTGAATGAGTTTTTCATTACTTTTCTTTATTTTCATATTTAATAACTTTTCCTGTTTTACAGATCTTCTAAAGATTTGAAACAAGTTGCAGTTGTTATGAAGAAAACTAATCTAGATTTCTTAGAAAGGTATGTGAAATAATATGGAATGAAACTAATTTTGGAATGGTATTTAAAAGATTTTATCTATTTCGGTAATGATTGTAGTAAAACTAGTTCATTTGAATGTGATATATTATTTATTGATATACATATTTATATTTTATAGTTCATAATATCAAACCAGAAATTTTACTTTTAATACTCTGCATATCAAATAATTAATTCTCTGCTGCCTGTTTTATTAAATTATGCATTTCATGAATATTGATTAATTTGGTGTAAATTTATCAATTTTGTTCAAATAACTATTCTTGAAGCCAATTTCTTTCTTTTTTATGCATTTCAGTTGTGAACTGATATCATCTCAGGATGCCTTGGAAAAAGGATCAAAAAAGCAACATTCGGCATTTGTTCGCTTTCTTGTTGCATTGTATTATGCTGCAATATCTCGATCCGAACTCCTATGTTACATGGTGATCATAGTGAATCAAATGAAATCTGCTAGCATCCTTTCCCTGCCTTTACCTCTTTTTGCATTTTTGTGGGGTACTTTGTCGGTTCCAAGACCTACTAAAGCATTCTGGATCACTATCATTACCTATACTGAGGTACATTAGTGAAATTAAAATATATATAATTGCTTTGTAGCAATTTATATAAACAAATTTCATGATTTTAATCCTTTAAGTGTTTTTATATGTAAATGTAACTATTATTTATTGTTATAACATTTATATTAATTATTTATAGCTATTAAAAATTTCTGATACATGTTAATTACTTTATTAAAATATCACAGAATATTAGAACAAAGTGATGATTAGGCTAAATGTGAAACTGTTCAGAATTGGGGAGTTAGTCCAAAGATCCTGCTCTGTGGTGATCAAAGACAGGATATCAACAGTTTTAATTAGATGATTAAAACCAGTGACTTAAATTATGATTTTAACCAATTTTTTTCCCAAATCATGAACTAAAATCAGATTTCTCTCTATTTTTAAATGTTAATATGTTAAAATCAAAGATTAAGGTAATATGTAATGCATTTAAAGAAATTTTAATTATTGAATACAAAAAATAGAAGCTTTCTAAAGAAGTAAAAAATTTTTAAATACTTTCAACAAGCTATGTTAGTATGCATGGAAATGTGTTGTTTCATGTCCACTTTAATCTCAGGTGTTAATTTGATAACGAGTGTGCAAATTCAAAACACATGGTGCGTGATCTATGTAAATATGTTATCTTTTCAAAAATCAAAAGTAAATCATCAAGTAAGAAAAAAAATTTATTTCATGAGGACATCATTTCATGTAGAAAGCCATCATTTCATAAATTTAATGGATATTTTTTTTTAAATCTTTCAATTTACTTATTGGGCATTTTGAATGAAAACTTTATGTCAAAAGAAAAAAAAAAAAAAAAAAAAATGTAAATCCTTTAAATTGTGGTCAGGGTCTGAGTTTCTGTGTAATTCATAAAATTTGCTTCCACTTATTACAATATCCAGATGTGCATCATCGCTGTCAATACTCTCCATACTAGAACTGTACACAGAACTATCTTTGCTGCCATCCATACAGTTATTGATGCAGAACTTTAAAGCTCAAACTATCACTTCAAATAGAATGTTTTCTTTGTTGCCATCCACTCTATCCATTTACTAGATCTAAGCCTGTCCTTAAATGGCTTTTTTAAGCAAACATCCATTAGCTTTTTGTCACAGATATCAGTCCTTTTGGTATTCCAGCCATTTATGTTTTCATTTTATAGTATTTCTCTTTCATTTTATCTGTGAGATGACCCTAGTATGGGTCCCAAACCAGCATGCTGGGTTTGTTAAATAAAGCATCTTTACTTCGGCTGTATGTTTTTTACAGATAATCCAAGAAGCCCTATTCATCCATACATATTCATCATATACAAGACAATAAATGAATGGGAAAAAATGTGCTAGCTTCGGATAGGTGTTACCAGAAATGAAGCTATGGTTTTTGGCTTCTGACATTTTACTTTACCATGACTTATTTGAAATATTTTTCACCTATTTTAGCTACTTGGCTTATGTACAGCTTATGTACAGGTTTTGATTTTGTGCAATTTTTTTAAGAAAAGATGCCCTCTCAACTTATGCACCATTTGACTATATAGGGGAAATATACGGTATTATAGTGCCATTTGTAAGAGATTCTCAGTGTTATGGGTACTTAATTTATATTAACTTTTAAGACACTCCATTTTTCCTTCCATGCAGTGATCTGTAGAAGGAAACGCATTATCTGTCTATCTTTAGAGGTCACTATATATATAATTTTGGAAATAAAAACATACAACATTTTTTCTTTTGTGAAAATTTCAATTATACTTGGATCATCCACATATTTTCTTTTTTTGATATCTCGTAAGGAGCTGTTGCAGGATTTTCACATTATGACATTTCAAGCTGTTTTTTTTTTTTTTTTTTTTTCCATCACTTAATGGAAGTCATTTTTTCATTCTAAGGATAAATAAACCTTTTCGGGTGTAAGAAATTACAATCAAGATGGTTTGAATCTTTTTGAATTACAAACAGTTCTTTTACTGTGGCATACAGATATGCTGTATTGCCATCTAATACCATCATGAAAATAAAACTGTATTTGATGATTGTTTTCACAAGTCATATTGAATGGAAAAATATCATTTTGGGGGAGGGGGCTAGTAGAAGCCAAACTTGTTCTTCTGATGCATGCATGTTCTTAACTTTCAGCTGTAACAGTTCAGATTTCACTTATTTTTGTTAAGAAAATTCAATGTAAGTTTTGCGTGTTAACTTGAATAATGTACATGAATAAATTAATCACGTGTTTTTGCTATAATATTTTCATGGAGGTGCAACTTTATTATCTATTCATCAAGAAATGAAACCAGAAGTAAACAAAAGCCTTGATTTATTCTTGATATAAAATAATATAAAGGGCCACCTTTTTCCCTAAATGGTGATTTTATATATAAAAAAAAAAAGTCATTATGTTTAGCATGTAATTGCTCTGATTAAAGAAAATCAGTCTGATCCTATGTAAATGTTAAAAACTTGTTTAGAGAATCATTTATTTTAACCTTCCCATTAATGAAATTGCGGGTACTGTATTTTAAAACAATAAATATGAAATAAGTTTTTCCCATTTAAATCTTAATGTCATAGTTTAAGATATTAAATATTTATATCATGATATAATGAAAAAATGCTTAAATTTCAAACAAAAGAAATATCAAGTATTCTGCTAGGCATTTGTTTGTGCCATAATGTTACTGATGTGTCCAGATCCCATTTGTTCTGTTTATTCAGTCTCTTTTCTTGATTAATGGATTATAGGGAATTTTTGTTCTCACCATAGCAACTTTTGTACACGATGATATTTTGCATACACAATGTGGGAAAGTACCCATATTTTTTTCAAAGTAAATGAAAGAGCTATAAAAATATGTATGAAAATGTTCAAAATTTGAATATATTCATTTTGCATCATTGCTTTAAAAATCGTTTCAGCTTAATTTTTGCCATAAAATGTTTCCTTTTAATTCAGGTAAGGAGTGTGTCAGTTATTCATTAATTTACAAAAGATTTATGCTTCTATAAAAATCCAGTTTCCTATTTTTTTTTATTTTTATCAAATTTCAAGTTTTTTTGTCCTTTTTTATATGTAATTATAAGGAATAATAGTACTTCCTTGTTAAAGCAGTCATTATAAAAACCTTTAACATTTAAAGTTTACTCATTATGTATCAGGTGATTAAGTTTGCTATTTTTAAAAATTAAGTGTGCCAGTCATTTTAATAAGAAACTACCAGAATAATTAACTTTCATCTATTTTCTTGTAGTCTATATTTCTGAAATTTCAGCATCTTTCTCTTTTTATGCAATGAATTCTAAAAGTTTCATTAATAACATTATTTCAGTGCCATATGGGAAATAGCTTCTATTTCTTATGTTGTATTGACCCCACTAGTAGGGCTTTTGAATTACTTATTTTTATTTTAAAATACTAGCTTTTTCTTTTCCTCTTTTTTTAGTATTTTATTTATTCACTAAAAGAAGAAGGAATTTTAGATGTGGTCTATTTTGAAATAAAATTGCAGTATGATTTTTTAGTATTCTGTAAGCAAATTTGATTTTATACTAATTTGATTTCTCTCGGCTCTGTTAAAGTAAGTGTATATATGAGTTTCTTTGCTTTAAATGTATATATATTTTTTAGGCTATTGTTGTCTTGAAGTATTTGTTCCAGTTTTACTTCTTTCCATGGAATAATTCAGAACCTCCTCCAAATAACCCATTTTATCCTACTGTAATATTAGGAATACGAAAAGATGACAATTATGCTGGATATGATTTAGCTGTTCTCTTAGTTGTCTTTTTCCATAGATTTATGCTTAAGGTATGATTTTTTTTCCTTTGAACTTTGTATAGAACTTTAAAATACATATTTTAAATAAATATAATGGACTTTTCTAAAATATTTATGTGATTAATCTGCTTTGCATTTAAGTAATATCCTTTATCAATATGTCTTAATCAATGCAAAATCTTTGAAGATGATGTTTAATACATTATTCAAGAAAATGCTAGTTTTTATTACATTATTTCATTTTAATGCTACTTTACTTTTCTGAACTAACACTAAAATATTAAGATGTTCTGTAGAGTTTGATTATAAAAGATTATTCCATTTTGTCTCCTTTTAGTGTTTATATGTTAAAAAAAAAGTTGATGAAAAAGAGTGATGAATAAAAATTAAAGTTTGATGGAAAATTACAAAGCAATGTTTAGATTTAATAGTAAACTTATTCATTTCTCTCATGAACTTTCAATTTTCAACCTCTTTTGCATTAAATAATTTCCTTTTTTTAGATTTTTAAAATTGGTCTGTTATTTTCTTAAAATTTGAGTACCATATTTTTAATTTAAAATTTTTATCTTCTCTCCTCTTGCATCCAATATTTAATTGTTTCTGAGAATGCTGAAAATTGGATGTTTCCAATAATTTTTCTAATGCTCCTGTCCACAAGAAAAAAAGCATATATTAAAATAGTGAAAATTAATAAATCTTTTTAATCACTGTGTATGTGTGTTTTTTCAAGGTAGAAAAATTTTAATTCATTAGCAAGTTTTTTTTATTATTATTCACAGAGTCTTGGTCTCTGGAAAGATACAGAAAAAAGTTTAATCATACCAAAAGTTGAAACACCATCTGCACCACCTGAGAAAGTAGTAATGAATGGAAAAGATGGAGAACTAGTTAAGGTTAGTAATAATTTTGCATGTTAAAAAAGGTATCAAATCTCTTTTTAATGGTAAAATTTAATAATAAATATTTTCTTTCTGTTTTAGAAACTTACTAATATACCAGAAATAAGTAAGGATGTACTACAAAGTGGTGATGATAAACTGATTGATAGTGCAGATGAATGTTCTGATGATGGTAAATGAACTCTAAAATTTATTATGTAATGTGTATAAATGTGTATTTCTTTCTTATATATAAATCTGTATTTCTTTGTGAATTTTTTTAATATATTCACGTGAAAATTCTATTTACATTTCTGTCAAGTACTCTTCCTGACTATGTGAGTTTAAAAGACAGAGCTGTGGATTATATTTCTTTAAATATTGATTTTATGTAAAGTTTCTTGAAATAGGTATAGAGTTTTGTGAAAAGAGTTTCCTGACTTGACAAATTTAATGACAGATGTTCTTTACTCAAGATGGAACTGTTAAAGCACAAATGAAAAATTTTAGTTTTATAATTGCTCCTTGAATTTCTTCTTGAAATACTTAATTTTAAATTTCGGTACTATTCTCTTTTGAGGGCCGTGAAAAAATTGCAGCGAAAATGTATGCGCAAAAGCGTCAAATCTAGCGTATGCTCTAATTTCAGATTGCATAAGTTTATATACGTAGCGTATTCGGAAACTATGTACTGTTTCATTCTAGCGCTGTGGTAGGCGTTCCACGCGTGTGCACTAGTCTTTCTTGTTCACTGACTTTCAGTTGTCGCCATTTTGGTTGCTCTATGTTGTGTTTTCAGTTTGCTGTGCATTCAAAATGTTTAAGACAATTAGTTCTCCCGCTGACTGTGGGATTCGTGCTGTGATTAAATTTTTGAACGCTAGGAATGTTAAACCGACCAAAATTTATCGTCAAATGACAGAAGTTTACGGTGAATACACGATAAGTGACGGAATGGTGAGAAAGTGGGTAAGAATGTTTAATGCAGGTCGAACAAATGTCCATGCCGAGGCTCGGAGTGGTCGGCCTTCTGTTGTCACTGATGATTTGGTAAGGAAAGTTGATGGAGCAATTCATGAAAACAGATGCTTCACACTGACAACTCTTTCAGAGGCATTTCCACAAATTTCACGTACTGTTTTGTTCGAAATTGTGTCTGACCGCTTGAATTATCGCAAACTGTGTTCCCGATGTGTTCCAAAAATGCTCACTGATGTTCACAAAACAAAGCGACTTGGTAGTGCCCTGACATTTCTCACGTGGTACAGTGATGAGGGAGAAAACTTTTCACACCAGAATCGAAACAACAATCGATGGAGTGGAGACACACTCATTCTCCGAAAAAACAAAAGTTCAAAGTGACAATGTCATCACAAAAAATCATAGGCACTGTCTTCTGGGATAGGAAAGGCGTTTTGCTTACTGAATTTCTTCCCAGAGGTGAAACCATTAATGCGGCACGATATTGTTTGTGAGACTTTAACAAAACTAAGGCGTGCCATTCAAAACAAATGAAGAAGAAGGCTCAGTAAAGGAATTGTGTTGCTCCATGACAATGCTCGGCCCCATACTGCTGGTGTCACTCAATCATTAATTCGACAGTTTCATTGAGAGCAGTTCGATTACCCGCCATACAGCCCGGACTTGCGCCGGGTTGGCGCCGTCCGACTATCACTTGTTCCTGCACATGAAGCGCGAGCTTGGTGACAAGCGCTTTGGACTTTGGATCTGACAATGACACGAAAAAATGCTGTGGAGTCGTGGTTATCGAAACTGGCGAGAAGTTTCTTTGACGATGGTATACAAAATTGGTCACCCACTATGACAAGTGTTTGATCATTGGCGGAAACTATGTTGAAAAATAGTTTAAGACATGTATTTTCATGTAAAAATAAAATTGGATTCGAAAAAATTGTTTTACTATTTTTTTTTTTTTTTTTTTCAAAACGGTACTTAGTTTCCGAATACGCCTCGTAGTTCTATATTTCTTAAGATGCCATTGAAATACTAGTTTAATTTTTAAATCCTTTTTTGATATCCTATGGATTTAACAATTTGGGAATTACCCATGATGAAAAGTTGGCAATAAACTTTTGGGTAAAGTTCAGAATAACCCACTGCTTGACGCATTTTTAAGAATTGCGCATACTTGGTATCCATGTGCACATTGACCTATTTTCACTAAAAAAAAAAAAATCCCAGAATTGCACAAAAATGGCACTGCACACACCCTTGACTTTATCTATGTACACATCGATCTATTTTCACTTAAAAAGTAAAAGAAAATTGACAAAAATTCAATTGTTTTTACCCTTGTAAAAAGCGGCAAACAAATAAGTGAGCGATTCTGCACTTCTGAATTCCGTTTCTGAATATTTTCAAAGAAAAGGCATCATTCATTATAGAAAATTACGTTTGAACAACCAATGAGATGAAATTATGCTTTAGCCATAAGTCGGTAGCGAAATAGCGATGCAGGCATTCATTCAGTTATGTTTAACAAGTTTTATATAAATTATAATAATGATCTGAAATAGTTATTTACTCTTATGCTTACATTCAGTCATGTTTAGCCTTTTTCATATAAATTATAATAATAAAAAGTATTATATGAAATTAACCTTTCATCTAAATTAAAACATCAATCTTAGATAGTTATTTACTATTATATTTCCTTTCTTGCCACAATTAATTTTGGCAGCATTGGCATCAACAATAGTCTGGCGATTTTTTACGGCCCTCGAAACCAAATAGTACCTAAATTTCTAATAAGATGTCATAAATCAATAAATTCATTCTTGAAATATTTGAAAATTCTGCATATATTTTCACTTCCCCCATTTTCTTTTTTGTGTTTAATTTGTGAAAAGAATATAGTTTACACTTATTTTTACCTTTGTGACTATCCAAATAAAATGAATCGTGAATGTTATTCACCGGTCATGAATGTTATTCACCTAATTGAAACTATGATGATATCTATAATAATTGTTTAAAGCATGTTTCTAAAGTGAGTTCCCTGAATATTGAAATTTAAAAATAAATCTTGAAAAAAAGTTATATTAACTTTAAAATGAATTAAAGCAAATATTCGCACTAGAAATGCCACAATGATTACATCGCTGTTAAGCTATTTTTTCATTTATGATATTATAATTCAAAGCAATATTAATTAAATGTACGACAAAAACTATTGTAAAATAAAGTAGTTTAAAAAGGAAACATGCACATTTACATAGAAATTGATATAGGACTAGAATTTTATTGTACGTTACTACCTAGTGTATGAAAGAAAGAGAAAAATTTCGTCAAATCTGTATTCCTGATTTAATTCAATAAAATGATTAAACAGTGATTTTTTGTATTTTTAAGTTTCTAATTTTTCTTTTGTTTTATGTATTTATTCACGTGATGTGGTTATAGGAAAAAATATTTATTTCATTAATAGGAGAATTTTTTAAATATGTATTTCTTTATTAAATAAACATTTTTCTATTTTATTGATTTTTGATGTTATTTATTTTTCAGCCAGTAGCGAATCTTCGTTCTATGAAGATTTTCAGAGAGTGGATATTAACAAAATGTATGACATGCTTTCATTTCTAAGTGATTTTTAGAAATATTAGTTTACCTCAAACTTTTATGTTCACTTTAAACTTAACTTTTATGTTTACTTTAAGGAGACCTATGTTTACTTTAAAAAAGTTTTGTAAAAATCTTAGAAAATTGTGGCTAGTTTACTTTAGAAAGTGGCATACCATCCCTGTGGCAGATAATTTTGCCAGTGAAAAGGGTACCATGATTAAATAATCTAATCCTTCCTTAAATGGAGAGATTACTCTTATTTGCCAAATATGTTTTAAAGTTGTATCTGCAAAATGGCTCTACTGAACTTCTTTAATTTTAGATTTGGAGCACAAAATTATAATTCTAACTGAATTGTGTTTTTGAACTACTGTGTAAATTATATTAATTGTTGCAACTGATGCTAATTTTCATGTAATATGCAAAGTTGGCATTAGTTGGTATTTATACAGCCATTTATAATGAAAATCGTTTTAGAGGAGTTATTACAACTTATCTGAATTGTGTTTAATTTTTTTAACTAATGAATGCATTCTTGAAAAATTACAAAAATTTTTATTATCCCCCAAATTTTAATTACTAATTTTCAGTGTTGCATAAGTTATAATATACAGCACTTCTATAGTAAAAGTTTGCTTTTAGTGCTTATTTTAGACCAGAGTTTCTTAAACTTTTTTCAGTCACATCCCCTTTTTATCACTGAGATTTTTTTTTTGCCAGCCGCAGGACCCCAATATTTAAAAAATTTTGTGGGACCCCATAAGTATTGCACAAATCCGACATACGCGTGAGTGAAACTTTCGATTTTTTCACTGTGCTGTAATATACTATTGAAGTTTTAGGTCATTAACTTTAATTTCTAATTTTAAGACATAGAACAATGTGAAAATTTTAAATAAGTAACGGATGGAATGACAGTGTCACGTGCAAAGCAAGGAAAATGAACATTTATATTATAAGAAGAATGCATGAAACGTTTTCATTTTTTTTCTTTGTCTGTATTGTCTTATCTTTATCTATTTTCGGATACATTGTATAAAAATATTTGGTAATTCTAAAATTATTATAATAAATTAAAGAAAATCAAAACTTTTAAAATTTTTGGTGACCTCCGGCTGCTGGTCCCGCGACCCCCTTGGGGTTCGCTACCCACAGTTTAAAAAACCCTGTTTTAGACCTCTACAAGAAAGAGTTTTTTTGTCCCAAATGAATATTCTTTATTTTTTCTTTGTATGTCCATTATTCGCCATATGCTTCTGTCCATATAATATAATGTTTCATTTAAATGAAATTTATTTTTTCTAGAAAATGCGAATAGCATAAAATTCAGAAAAATAAATGAATTCAAAAGTTTAGGATCAGCAAAAATATGAGTAGGGTAAACTTTTTAAATTGAGTACATGTATAAATTTTTGTATGAATTTCATACTACACTTCTCTAAATAATTGTCGTGTCATATATAATATACAGTCAAAAGTCGTTAATTCGGACACCCATAATACGGAATGATCTATAATCCGGACCTCAAAGCTAAAAACTTTCTGCGCATGCGCATAGGCGTTTACGCGTGGGCGTAAGACCTTTACGACTGCACATATCGGTGTGTGCAAGCGCAGAATACGTTTTCGCGTGCGTGTTTAATGTATAACGGACGGTATAAGTTAAATTATCTAATTATCTATTTCAGTTAATGTTAATGATTGCGTTCCTTAATCTTCGAATTGGATCCGGCTTATTATTTTTTGCAGACTGTAAGAGCAATTTTATAAAAGTAAGCTTGAACTTTCGATTATGTCAAATAGAATTTCTGATGCTGGAGGTCGCAAAGGATCTACAAAACGAAAGTATGTTTCGATGTCCATCAAACAAAAAGTTTAATTGCTGCAAAAATGGATAATAAGGCATATCCTTTGTTTATCTAACCGTTCCGAAAACTGTTTATCAATTTCACGCTGCTCTGCGCGGGGGGGAGGGTGAACGTCGCGGCTAGCAATGAACTGGAAGTTGATCTCTCAGCACTATCGTTATCTTCAGGGCAGATGTTTTTATTTTATTTGGCTTATAATTCTTTACTAAATGTAGTATTTCATCTCGATGTACTCCATCTTTGATATGATTTAAATCAAATTCCTCGTCATTATAAATATCACGAATACAAATCAAATAGTTTCTGGTTGCAATTTTCTAATTTCGGCTAAATGTATGCTTTACGCATGCGTGCGTTGAAAGAAATGTTTAATAAAGTAAACAAATAAATATTAAGCTTTTTTTTGTAAAATTTGATACCCTTTAGATCATAATTGCTCATTATTTTATAAATTACGGTTTTATATTTTTAATTTTATAATTTCTGCATTCCATCTTACCAGATTTAAACTGATGATCTATAATCCAGAAAAATCAATAATCCGGAATCGCCGAAGTCCCGACGAGTCCGGATTAAAGACTTTTGACTGTATGTCTTTTGTCCTAAATTATCATATTGTGTTGCAGAAGAGTTCGTGAAGGCCTGGCAGAACTCTGCTACATGGAAAAAGAAAAAAATATTTTTTATATAACTGTAGAGGTTAAGAGGAAAAGCCCAAAATCCATTTTAATGAGACCATAATAAAAATTTAAAATTTTCTATCCACCATATCCCAGGCATAGAACACTTTTCTAAATATGTGCTAAGGTTTATGAGCATAATTAAACACTAGAAAAAATAATACTATCACTTTGATGGTTTCAGCTTTACTTTTAAATGCAGCATTTTTATTTATGACTCAAGTTGCTGAAGTTCTATCTTTGAATGTTTTTAAGTTCTATTTTTATACATACATTTCCTACAAAACTTTGTTCAGCTAAGGAAAGAGGGGGAAAATGTATTGTATTCAGTCTACAGTCTTCATTTTGAGGGCATAATGGAAGGCAATCATTAAAAGTACATATTCTTTTTAATTCATTTATACAATAATGTGACACATACATATTTGACTTTTGGACAAACTTTTGAATTTAACGATATGGAAGCCCTTGACTTACACATTATCTAAGTAGAATGTGAAAAACTTTTGATTCCACACTTTAGTGGAGCAAATCGGTTAATCTGCAGATAAGCTAGGTAATGTGCACATTAATGATTTCTGAACTTTAGTGGTAACATATATGCTTAATTTCAAATTGTGTTTTATAATTTTTTTTATTTTTTTATTTCGTCTGTATAATTTCATGGATGTGTTCTAATTTATATATCTTAGGTTACAGCAAACAGTATCAACATTACTTACTCTCATTTTTAAACATCCTTTCCATTCTCATTACATATGCTTATAAAAATATTATATCCAATTATATTATGGTTTTATGTTTGTTGGTGAGAATTTAAATTATTGAACCATTATTTATAAAAATAAGCCTTAAATATAAGCTTCAAACTTTTTAATAAGAGAAAAAAAATCTTCTCATTCTAGTGTTAATAATGTTAAAAAATTTGCTTGAGAAAAATATGAGCATTTTTGCAGTAAATCCAAAAGTAAATTAAATGTTTATCTCTTTCTGTAAAGAAGATATTATTTTTTCCTTCAGTGACTCGATTATGTTATGCTTTTCAATATAAATATAATCGTTGTATTTCATTCTTGTAACTTCTACCTTGTTGTTATTGTTGTATTTATTTCTTATTTGAATGTTTTTATATAACTTTCTTTATTTTTGAATTGACCGTAATGTAATAAAGTAACAGGCAAGCCATAGAAATTTCATTTTATTAATATTTTAAGAAATTAGACTTGCCGTTTAATGAATATGTACTTTTATCAACATTTGTTTATGCAGAATAATATGAAATCATGTTGACATTTATTGGAACACCTGTTTAACTAAGAAAAGTTTAGAAATTTACATTGTACATAAAGTTTTTTTAATTATTTATTTTGATGAAATAATTAAGAATTATTATTTCCCTTTCAGTGTAGGAACGGTGGTTGACCCCGTCAAAATGTTTTTTTATCATCTACTTTATCCTGAATACCGTGTCACTGTAGATGTATATGCTTTTATGTTTTTCTGTGATTTCATCAATTTTTTCATTGTTGTATTTGGCTACTGGGCTTTTGGGGTAAGCAGATTTATTATATCTTTTTCTCGTCTTGATATTTTATTTAACATTACTGAATACCAATAGAGAAACTGATGTGTTAGAAATTTTTTAAGATTTTGCAAAATTTCTTTGTTTATATTATATTTAGCTTCAAAGAGGTTGGAAGCATCGGGAAGAAAGGAAAGGGTTATTCTAGTCCTAAAAAAATATAATAACAGTTTATAGATATTTGTCTAAACTTATAATCCTGTAAACATACTTACAATCGTACACTTCTAGCTTATAAACTTATAGTAAATAAAATGGTTTTTTTTTTAAACTGTAAATGACAGAAAATGTAATATCAAAAGTTCTAAAACAATGTCCAACACATAAACCCACTTGACACTCTGAATACCAAATTGTCACAGAGTTGCGTTTTCTTTCATCTCTGGTGGCATTACTATAAATGTGGCATATTCTTTGGCCTTTTCTTTTCCCAGCAGTGAGTGGAACATTGCCCAAAAAATGTCTTTCAATGAAATTACTGATGGCTAATTGGGCAAACAATTCTCCGCTTAGTCTATCAGATCGAACTGGAATAAGGATTCTGTGTTTTGACAAAATTTGTTGTATAATGTTTCTAATAAATTCTTTCAAATGACAGGTCATTGTTTCTTGTTTTTACCAGAAACATTATTTATATTCAAAACAGAAATGTCTAATGGGGGGAGAAAACATTTTATGCCACTTCATACTTTTACGAACAGTCTCTATGAAAGACAGCTGCTTGTCAGCCTTGTTTATAAGTCTCATTCGTGGTGTAGTCCAATACACAGTCTGGTTTTGTAATTATTTCCTGGGTTCTCTGTGATTTATTTTGCTTATATTGTATCATTTACTATACAAAAGCAGAAAGCAAAACAAAATTTACGATTTTTTCAAGTTATTTATGGTATTAGGCAATTAGTTATTTGGTTTGTTATAATTAACTTATATTTGAGTCAGTTTGGTATATGATAAATGACTGTTGTTTTATAATCGCTCACTGACGATGAAATGCCGCTCAACAACCGCTTTAAAAACTGTAAATCGTCTATTGATGATTTCCGGAATAATGCGGCAGATTAGGTAAATTGCTTATTGATGACAGCTGTAGTTAAAGGGTTAAAGCAAGATTGCTGAGCTGAAATTTATGTCTTTAGTTGATCTAAAACTTTCAAAAGATTTTATCTAAGCTATAATATGATAATTTTTTGTACAGATCTTAACCCATTAACTGCCGCGGGCGTATATATACGCCTTGCTCAGCCGATGCGTTAACTGCCCCAGGCGTATATATACGTCCTTCCAAACTGCTATCATTTGCTTTGCGCTGCTACACCTAAAATTATTCGCAAAGTTAACGCATTGGCTGCGCATCTGGGGCAGTTAACGCATCAGCTGAGCAAGGCGTATATATACGCCCGCGGCAGTTAAGGGGTTAATATGCCGCAAATGCTTTATATGCAACAGTTCAGTATCATCTGGATAAATATAAATACTATGCATGATGCAATGCTATTTGATACATTCATTCTGATATAAAAGGCAGCTTGTAGGTGAAAAGTCTATATTTAAATTTATCATTTAAGATATTTTAGATAAAGATTTCATATCATTAAATTCTGTGCTCTTAGAGTCTGGAAATAAATCATCATGGTATCTGCTTTTTCTTATTCCTCATGCTGTACAAGTCACTTTCAAATTAAATTTTGTTGTGTGTATTGAGGCTTCCTGTATAAGTTCGAAAGCAGTTCTAAATAAAATTTATTTGCATGGTTGGACTGTAATATTAAAATTTTTGTTTAACAGGTAGTATGTTTGAAATATGAGTAATGATGAATGTATCATGAATAATGATCATTATCGCTAGTGGTCGTAATATGCTGCAACATACCACTTTTCACTGTCAATAAATTTCTATGCTTCATGGCTGTGCAGAGCAACTCCCATGTGTCATAGTTGTAAGCAAATAGACTAATGACACATTTCTAATATTTTTCTTCAAGTATACATGTATGTATATTGAAAGAAGATAGGAAAGATAAGTCATCTTACCTGAAGATATGTTGCTAGCCTTTAGTGCTTCAGTGCTGCTGTTTTCTGTGCCATGTTATGCCTTCATTTTGTACTGCTGCTATCAGACCTTTCTGGATTGAAATCTAATTTAAAATATGAATACCCTAGCATTTATAACAAAGTTTAATGGCCAAAACAAGGATAATTTAAACTGGTATTTAGTATATTGATATATATTGTTTTTTTGGCTTTTTTTTTACTTTTGATGTTTTGCTTATGATCTTATCTGATAGTTATAGATATTCTTCAATGCTGTTTTTGTCAAATATTTTTTTTTCCTAGCTATCAGAACATTTTGCAGAAGTGTATCAACAATGTTATGGTTTGCTATTAGATGCCATAACTTTGGAAATGATTTTGCTGCTGATGATAATTTTTTAACTTTAATAAATTTATTCTATTCTTATTTATGTTTTGGGACATTTTTCAGTTTACCTTTTAAGCTTTAATTTGTATTATTGTTTTTACGTTTTAATGTGAAAAATTTGACTCATTGAACTAAAAATTAAGAAGTTGTAGGTGCTGACAAAGCATTTTATTGCAGTTTTAACTAAAAAAAAGTTTAAGTATTTTATGGGTTTTTATAATGTTTAAAATTTTTTTTGGTCTTTGTTTCTCTACAACATGTAGGCAGAAATAAGGTTTCTTGTTTAATTATATTTATTTTACTGAATCTGAATTTCTTATACCAGGGATAAAAAAGAATCAATTTTAAAATAATCATAAATTTGTTAATTTAGGAGCCATTTGAATGTCAGCGCATGTAGAAAATTGAATATATTACAGTATATGGTCAATAAAATTTGAAGCTAGAATACAACTTTATACAGTAGTAATTTTATGTGTATTATTTTTATTTTTTTAGACTGAAGGATCAGAAGCTGTAACATCTTATTTTGAAGAAAACAAGGTAGTGTAACATTCTCTTCTTTTCTTGTTTCAGTTGAAATCTGTTGTTACAAAAATTTCACTGAATCATTATGACTCGTTCATTTAAAATCATCCAAAAATTTATATTTGCTATGAGAAATCAGAACTTTTTCTCTAGATGGTTAAAATTGAGGGGATTTGTAGGTTTTATAAGGAAATCGGCTTCTGCTGCACTTAGTGTATATCATGTTATAAGAAAGCTGCATTATATTATCTCTGGTTTGATCTCACCACATTTATATCTTTAGCTTTCAGTGTAGGCATATTAATAATAAATAAAAACAAATTGGTTTCATTCAGAACTTAAGCAATATCTTGTATATCAACATAACTATTCACATACTTAATGAAGAATTAATTAATTAAAGAATTAAAGAATAAAATAATAATATAATTTGAGCACAATAATTAGAGAATAAAATGTTTAATTATTTATTTTGATCATAAATAAAAGAATTAAAATTATGTCTAATTCAAATGTTTTGATACGTACATAATAATAAAGCTTCATAATTTCCAGAAGCGAATTAATTGCACGTAAATGAATCTAAAAATTCTGTAATTTTATGTGACTCAGAGAGAGTATTAACCTGTTTACAGTAAATTATGATAATTCTATTTTTTGCAATGTATTAAGTTATTTAATTTGTATATTACAACCATGAAAGTTTCATTATGTACATTTTTTAAAGAAGGTTTTTGCATCAAAACTGTTTGAAGGGTTTTTTTTTTTTATTTTATTTTTTTATTTCACAATAAACAAATACATTTTTATGCTCAGTCAGTTCAAAGCATATATGGCTAAACTATGTTTCGCTCATACTTCTTGTACGTAAGTTAGAAGAAAAGAGCGTGCTTGTACTTTTTTAAGTATGCTCGTTTAGAGATTAGAGATTTTTTCTTAGAAGTTACAACAATAAAGAAATAATTAGAAAACATATATACTTGTTTATCTTTTATTTTACTACAATATATATTTTTCTTTCATATACCTTTTTGCCCCTCCAAAAAAAAAAAAAAAAAAAAAAAAAAAAGTGAAAATTATAAGTAAAGCATTTGCAGCTTTCAGGTTGTGAATCAAAAATATTTTGAGCAAAAAATGTAGGTATACCACATATTTAAAAAAATAAATTACCAAACAAAAATTATATATATAATATATATATATATATATTAAGTGAAATTATTCTAGGACAAATCATGTTAAATTATTGATATACTTAGTGACAATAATGATCTGTGTATAACATTGGTGGTTCTGAGAAAATTTTTATCTGGGTATTGAAAAACATTATATTTGAGATTGATGAATTTGTTAGAACTGATGGACCAAAGTATGGAAAGTATGGGATAAGGGAAATTTTGGGTTCTTTTTCTAACTAAAAAGCTCTTTAAACTTATTATTAATTTTTCACATTAAAAGTGTTTTCTGTAATATAATATCATATTTTATTTTAACAAAATGTGCAAAGGGATGTAAAAGGATTCAGATTTATAACAGTAAAATCAGTCTCTGTATTAAAAAAAAATCTTATGTGTGGGCACCACATGATTCCTTGTATCCCTGTTAAATTACACACAGTTTTTGCTGCACTTTATTGCTCTTTAAATAAATGTAAATTTTATCTTTCTAATACTATTAAATGGAATAGTTGAATTATTATTAACTTGAATAGCTATTAAACTTATGAATTGATAATTGTTTCTTATAATGAAATTAAACTATTTTAACATTAATTTTCATCTTGCATCAAGTAATTTTGAACAAACGCCTCAGTCTTCACATTGTCATCAGGCATGAACTACTTGCCAGGATGCTGAAAGTTTTCCCAGTTGGCCACGATTTGGTACGCCACCAGATAAATAATTGAACATATTATTTTTCTGTTTAAGTTTGATAACTGAAAATATTAAGTTAAACGTTTTTAGGAACGCTTCAAAGGGGGGGGGTTCTTTTACGACATCCTTTTGTTGAGCACTTTGGTCATTTAGAGGCATAGAAAATGACAGTTTTGCCCGGAAGCTGCACAGGGGATTTCCTTAACATTTTCGCAGATAGTTATAACTAAAACAGTCTCTGGACAAACAGGAAGTTCTAATTAAGCGAATGTTTACCAGAAGTGTGAATATTGTTACAGATGCTGATAATTGAAATTAATAAATCATCTAAAGAAAGTAAAATTTTAATTTTTTATTAACGACAAAGTTCTTCGTAGAGGTTACCTATGTTCTGTTTTGTTATTAATTACAGTTTTATCAATTTATTCTACTAATAACATGTTACATTTATTTCATACTTTACTCAAATGTTAAACTGAGAAGAATGTTTAAATTTAGAATAATCTTCTAACTTAGTTCATATTTTTAAATCTCCACTTTACAGTTATTACAGTCTTTAAATATTGGCATTAGTTTGTTTAGCTAACATTTTACATAGATATGTGCTATATTTTATAGAAACTTCTAAATTACATACAAATTAGTTTTAACATATGTATTTTCTCTTTTTCTTCTGAAGATTTATTTTTGTGTGTTTTCATAGTATTTAGTTCAAATTCTTTTTTACAATTTTATTTATAGGTTCCTATACCTTTCCTAATTATGCTAATTGCTCAGTTTGCAACAATTGTTACTGATAGAGCCTTATACTTAAGGAAGTATATATTAGGGAAGTTGATTTTTCAAATAATATCCGTTTTTGTTGTTCACATGTGGATGTTCTTCATTTTGCCTGCTATAACATCTAGGTGAGTGATGTCATTTTCTTGTAATCTTACTTGAATAGTAAAATCCGAATTCAAATTTTGTTTTGGTCTAATTTCTTACTCATATTATTTAAATGTAATAGTATATTAGATTTCTTTTATATAACTGCAAAAGTTAGATTAAATGTCTTTATGATTATTATGTTCATGCATAACATCAGAAAAATTAAGCATTTCATGCTTCATTACTAAATTTAATCAGGAGCTTTTAAATCAATAACATGTCAATTCACTGTTATTTACCTTTGGCAAAAAGTAAAGGTGAAATGTAATACAAATTTTAAGCACTTGTAAAGCGATTTTTGAGAAGGGAGTTTGCAATTTGAAATACTTAATTTAGTATATATATTCAAGTTTTATAATCTAATAAGAATTACTGATAAGAATATTAGCCATATTTTATAGTATAAATATATTTTAATCTCAATGATATGGCAGTGAGCTAAAACATTGTTACATATTTTAGAATATGTTGTATTGTTTTCCTTTTTTAAATTCCTTAATATTTCTTTTCATCAGCATTGGCATAACAGCCTTTTGTGGGCCTTCAAAGGCCTTTCATCCTCAGAAGCCATTCCACTCCCTTCCAGCAATTGACCTCCAGTTCTAAATTTTTAGAATGGCCAGTTCTTCATCTAGGCAATTCCTCTCATCTTTTCATAGGTCTTCCTCTTGATCTTCCACAAACGGGTTGCATTAAAGATCTTAAGGACCATTCTCTCTACATTCATTATCAGGAGGTGACCTGTCCATCTCATTCTACTTAATTTTATGAATATAATAATATCCTGATCTTTATAAAGTTAATAGAGTTTAAAGCTATACCGTTTACACCAGGGATGGGCAAACTTTTTCGGTTGCGGGCCAAAAATCAAAAAACAAAAGTTTGACGGGCCAAGGTAAATTTTTTTGAAAGTAAAAAAATATACACACAAGTATTACAATTTAAATATGTTAATGAGATGAATGAAATTACGATTTCATTTTTGAAAGTTCCTTATAGTCAGGTTCGAAGTGTGAGTTATACTGATTCTAAAGAGTGAGGCTAAATGGCCGTTTATCAGTCTACTTCTGAAATAATTCTTTCTAAGGTTGATAGTTGAAATAACTTGTTTACATATATAAGATGAAGCAAACATTGCACTGATTATTTGTGCCTGAGATATTGAATTTGGGAAACTTACTTTCGATAATGATTCGTAAAGCTCTTATTTTGGCATATTTAGAAACAACTGCTTGAAATGACTGTTAGATTGCAACTCAATTAATTCAAGCTGCAAATGGGACCTCGCTGCTTCACAATTTGAGTTGAAAGGCATGGTAAAAATATCCAGTTGTGTTTAAATGGGACTGAAATCTTGAAATCTGCATTTGAACTCAAAATGCAATGTTTTCAAGCCATCTTTATAAATAATTCTTAAGCTTCTCTTCATTTACTAAGGGTATTGAATTTAACTTCAGGAAATGAGACAAGTCATTCTTAGCTACCTGCCCAGCAATTTTAGTTTAAAAGATTTGAGATGAGCCTAGATTGTCGATAAATTGATTTTTTACAAGAACGACACAATGTCATCTTTCAGCTGCCAAACTCATTCGAAAACACATCCTGCACTGAGCCACCTTACTTTCATGCAATACAGTACATCAGAGTATTCAGATTGCATGGACTGAAAAAAATTGAATTGAGATTGCCCACGAGATTGAATAGTATTTACAAGCTTCATGACTGCATCAAGCACTGGTTTCATATTCATTTGCAGACTTACAGAGAGCATTTTGATGTATAACACAATGTAGAGAAACAATGTTGTTCCCGGGATAGTTTTGATTAAAGAGTTCAAGAAATCCAGATTTTTCCTATAATATTTGGTGCTTCATCAGTCCCAATGTTACATATATTTGTTATAGGCACTTTCAAAGTTAAAAGCCAGAGTTTAGAGTAAGTAAAAAGATCATTAGTCCTGTGTAAAAAAAGGAAGAGAAAATAATATTTAAACAAAGTAGAAAAGAAGATGGATATATAATATATAAATATATATTTCTTTTAATTCGCTTCGGACCGGCAAATTAAAATTCTATCCGCGGGTCGGATAGAACGTTCCGGCGGGATGTAGTTTGCCCATCCCTGGTTTACACCATATATTATTCTTCAAAACAGCACCAAAAGTAATTGTTAGAAAGATCACCTTTCAAAGATCACCTAATCTCTTTTTTCCCTTGTAGTCAGAGTGTACATGTCTCTGAAGCATAGGTTAAGACTGATTTTATTAATACCTTGTATAGTAGAATTTTTGTCCTTTTCTTTATTAGATGGGATTTCAGAAGAGGTCTTAAACCAAAGAAGCTATGATTTGCAGTAATAATCCTTTTTCTGAATTAAGGATTAACATCATTTTGATAGCTAATTTCAGAGCCCAAATAGGTGACTTTTTCACAGATTCAAATTTAAATGGGCCCTTCTCAAATATTTCAAGCAGATTTTCCTTTTTAACCACATTACATATATTTAGTTTTTTTCCACATTTACTCTGAGCTTCATTTTCATGGCTGAATTCTCTAGAACCAAAACGGTCTCTCCCAGCACAGCTGTTGATCTTGGAGTTGTATTAATACCAAGCATCTCTTATAACTTTCCCCAGAGCTAAATAAAAGATGAGTCATGCCAATGCATCTCCCTGCCAAACTCCATTGCTGACTGTAAAAGAGGTAGATGTTTCTCCTTGAACTCGTACTGAAGACATGGTTTTGGTTAGAATGAGGTTAATTAACTCTGTTGGAGCTTTGAACTCAGAGAGGGCTTTTAGTAACTGAGCGCTATCAATGCTGTTATAGGCTGTAATATTTCTTTTATTTTAAAATAAAAATAAAGTTATACATCTTCCTTCTTACTTAGTTTTTAATTAAATGTTTATCAAGTATAACTGTGTGAATATTATTTTTTAATGTAAATAAACTTATACTGTGAGATATATTTAAGCATTTACTTTTAACCCTCTCGCTGCATAATTTTTGTTATCAAAATAGATTCAAATATTACATATTTTTTATAACATATATGGAATCTACATATGTTTTAGAGTTAAAATATGTAAATTTTTTTCCCAAAAGAGTTTTTTTTTCAATATGAAATTATATCATAAAAAAAGATGTCAGAAAATTTAAACAAGAATAATTATATAAAAGCAAAATTCTGAAAATTAATCTTGTTTAAGTTATGAAATACGTAAAAACATATTAATTCACAAGTATATTTTAATGAAAATGTGGAAAATATTTACAGAAAATTTATTAGAAATGAAGTTTGGTATGATAAACTTCAAAACAAGGCTCAATTCTTTGCAAGTCTTACCTTGCAATCTGCACCAAATTCGAGTTTCTTTGAGAAATGTTTTTTTTTTCCTTTTTTAGCAATAAACAGCACACTGTCTACGAGGCTGTATTGGAGGGATATATGGATAGCAAAATGTCAAGCAGTTAGTCTCATGGTATTGAGAGTTGAACTGCAGATATATTTGAGCTTTGAAAAGAGTGTACCGAATGGTCCAAAACATGCTTGTATATTTCGCAGAAATATGGACAAATAATGTCATTTGTTAACCCTGATCTAAATAAACAATCAAACATCACAGAAAAGGTGAAATGAAACCATGAACAGGAAGAGAGCAGGTTGCACAGTTAACCACTTCCTTTACAAATTTTTTTGAAAAAAATTGCAAAAAATCATCACATTTTTTTATTTTATTATTAAATACAACAAAACGAAACAAACCAAAAATGTGTAGGTTTAAGTTTAATTTTTTGAAGGTGTAAAATCATTTATTTTTAATATTAGTTTACTATCCCAAGTTATCTCGGGCAAACGAAAAAAATTAAATATTAATCTTTGTATGATAGTTTTTGAAACAAGGCACAACACAGAGTGATACCTGACGTTCTACACTGGTATCTGGTCTCTTTTCTTACTGGCTTACCGCTGGAATCTCTTTCACGGGAGCACAGAGTACACTGTCTCATTGGATTTGATTTTTTTTTAAATTTGTTCCCCAACCTTTTCATAATCACTATCTGAAAAATCATCGCTTTCGCTATCTTCCATCATCGCCAATATTTTATTTTTTTCCAACGCATGCATCCTTCTTTATACATTACTAATCCACAAGCCAATGTATACTATACAATAGGGAAACACGCAACCAGTCCCTCCAAAAGAACCACGCAACCAACAAAATTTGGCAAACTGCCAATCAAAGCTAAATATTTCTTTTCATTTCCTCTAGACCGAGTAAAACCGTGATAAAAGAAATCGTACTCACAAATTCTGCTTCACCCGAGTTTTCTCGGGATAATAATTAACTGCAAATATATACGAACCCGAGATAACTCGGGATAATCAGGCAAGTGGTTAAACAGACGGACTGGATCCCTGTGGAAATCGCAGGTTGTGCAAATTTTGCTACTTCTACCTTACCAGTGGAGATTGCAGGATATGCAACGAGGGTTAAAAGTGGATGAAATTAATTTCCAATATTTAAATGGTAGTTTTCAATTTATGATAAATTGTATTTTATAATATTTCTTTTACTCATAATTTTTGTTAATACAGGGACTTTGTGGCATCAAATAACTTACCACCCAAAATGTGGTATTTTATCAAGTGTATTTATTTGTTACTTTCTGCTCATCAAATAAGGTCTGGATATCCAACTCGCATTTTGGGCAATTTCTTTTGCAAGAAATATAACTATGCCAATTTGTTTCTCTTTAAAGGGTTAGTATGTTACATTATTTTTTATTTCTTTTTAAGTCATATCTATAAACTTGTATGCAACTCATATGTTTGTCAAAAATTAAATATCTGAGTAAGTAAGCATTAAATATGAATTCTTTGTATTTTACAGGTTGGCCCAAATATCATATCATGAAAGAAAGTTAAAAAAAAATATAATAATAAAATTAAAAAATTAAAAAAAAATAAATTGAGTTTAAAAAGTACAAGACATGTTTAGATAAAATTGTTAAATAAATGAATTTTGACAGATAAAGTTTTCAAAATGAATATTTTCTGCAGTTATAGTTGTATATACTCAGTAAACTCAATAATTACACTTAGCATGTCAAAGTTTATACCTTTAATAATTCACTTGCTTATTTTAATGGTGAGATAGTTTAAAGCTTCTCTTAAAATCTCCTGCTTTAATAGTTTTAAAGCCTATGCAACTCTTGGCCTTAATTGGCCAAGTTACTTTGCCCATTAGCGGCCGAGTGGTAAAGTCGCTGAACACTGGTAGTTTGGTCCGAGGTTCGAATCTCACAAATGGGCGGTTTTCCCATGGTCACTTTGGTTTTCCCCATGTGTATCATGTATGCAAGCCAGTTTTCCTTAGAAAGTCCTTCACAAAGGCATCCCTTCCCTTAGGCAGAAGCTCTCGAGGCTTTGCTGTAATCGTGTAAAACAAACCAAACCAAGTTACTCTTGGCCTTCGTTAGAATGAAGATTAGTCACCCTCATCTGATTTACTAGGTTAAATAACCCACTACAATCCTTAAAATTCCATTTAATAAACTCTTATGTTAAACAGTTGTATAAATAAATCAATAGAGATGCAATTTCAGTTATAAAATATTTTTATCTTGTTATTTGAGCTACTCTGTGTACAAAGCTAGTGCTACCTGAAAGAAAATATATAGGCAGTCTTTTTAGTGTAATTGTATCCCGTAAATTTTGACAAAACACGATTTTTAATTTACTTAAATTATCGACTAAATTTGGTATTTCATCTTTTGGGATGCGTTTTTCTTAATTTGATATTAACATATTTCATGTTACAGTTGTTATCTATAAAATTTGTTCAAAGTCTGGCAAAAACTATCATATTTTAATTCAAAATTACGTTTTGGACAAATTGCTATGATTGAAGAAATTGTCAGTGCTATAATAGGCAATTTTAATAAATAATATGCATCGATGGTTTAATTAGCCACCCTAATCGTATAGTGGTTAATACTGCTGTTGCTATATCTTTGCATGCACATTCGAATTCCAGAAAGGTCTTGGGTGTCTGTAAGTGTGTAATTGCTGTGTGGCATGGGGCAGTTATGACACTGACGAGATAAAATTTGTTCAGATGCTTGCAAAAATTATTGTATTTTAAAATTATAATTTGTTTTCTCGAGAACCCTTGAGAGTTTGCTGGCCTCTAAAGCAGGGCTGTGGAGTCTGAATTGGAGTCTGGCAGATTTTGGGGTAAAAGGAGTCAGAGCTGGAGTCGCTAAAAATAGGTCAACTCCAACTCCAGTTTTTGTAGGACAGTTTGAATTTGAAATGAAATTAAAATGAATTAAAAAAAAATAATGAAAAAAAAATTAATGGAAATTAATGAAAAATTAATGAAAAAATTAAATTATTATTTTTATTTATGGAATATATACATTAATAAATGCAGTACAAAGTCTTTAATCCGCACCTCAAAGCTACAAACTTTCTGCGCATGCGTAAATGCATAATACCTTTATGCATGTGCATAATATGTTTATGCATGTGCATTTAATGTATAATAGACAGTATAAGCTAGGCTAAAATGATCTAATTAGCTATTCCAGTTAATGTTGCAGATTGCGTTGTTCCTTAATCTTCTAATTGGATCCAGCTTATTATTTTTTGCAGACTTTAGGACAATTTTATAGAAAGTAAGCTTGAACTTTCGATTATGTCAAAAAGAGTTTTCGGTTCTGGAGCTGCCAAAGGATCTACAAAGCGAAAGCATGTTTCGATGTCCATCAAATAAAAGGTGGACTTGCTGCAAAAAATGGATTAAGGCATATCCTTTGTTTCTCTAATCATTCCAAAATCTGTTTATCAATTTCACGCTGCTTTGCAGGAAGGAAACATCACGGCGCGAAATGAACTGGAAGTTGATCTGCCAGCACTATCCTCATCTTCAGGGCAGATGTTTGTATTTTATTTGACTTATAATTCCTTATGAAATGTAGTATTTCATCTTGATGTACTCCATTTTGATATGATTTAAATCAAATTCCTCGTCATTATAAATATCACGATTACACATCAAATAGTTTTCTAGTTGCAATTTTCTAATTTCAACTATGCGTAATGTATGCTTTACGCATGCATGCATTGATAAAAATGTTTAATAAAATAAACAAATAAATATTTAGCGCTTTTTTTTTTTTTTTTCAAATTTTTGTAAATACCCTTTAGATCATAATTGCTCTTTATTTCATAAATTACAGTTTCATATTTTTAATTTTATAATTTCTGCATGCCATCTTACCAGATTTAAATTGATGACCCATAATCCGGAAAAAAACCCTCGGATTAAAAACTTTGTACTGTAGTTTTTTTTTTTTTTTTTTTGACATATTAGTAAATAAATATAAGGGAGGAGGATGGGTGTGATATTTTCCATGATTGATTAAACTGATTCATTGAGTTACAAATTTCGCTGGTAAATTTAGGTAAGCAGCAATAGCAGCAAGAACTCTGAAAATTGATGCCATTCTTAGGAAGCAAGCAGAAAAAAGGAGCAATTATTGATCAATCAATGCGATAAAGAAGTACATATTTGATGATAAAGAGGTTGTTAGAATTAAGAACTTTTTAGAAGATGTGGATAACCCTAATGTTTCACTTACACAAGGACAGTGGAAATATCTTTCAGAATTGGAAACGCTTCTTTCTACACCATATATAGCTAAAAAAAAAGTTGCAATGTGAAGAATTGACAGGAGGTGAGAATAGAAGCATGGGGTGATTGTTCTTTCTAAAATGGAGGGTTTTATTGCAGAAGGAATTTCTTCAATGAAGAAAAGAGAAACTAGTTGGCTAGACAATGAAATCTTGCTGGGTTCAATATATGTAGATCCGAAACACTTAATTTTCTTGGGTGACGAACAAATTAAAAAGGCAAAGAAAGCCATCTATGAACTTTCATTAAGAATGAAATTATTCTCAGAACAATTAGAGAATTCGAATCAGGGCTGTCAAGCTGCAGACATTGCAATGTGTCTCTACTATCCTCTTCTAGAGATGAATTAGATTTTTAGAAATATTTTTGACTAATACTGAAAAAGCTGAGTCAAAGCGAATGAAAATAAAGAACCAAGAGCCTTTAGATATAAAAATGGAAAAATACAAAACAAAATTTCTACACGGTCATTGAAGAAATAGAGAAATATGATTACACTTGCAAAACACCTCTTTTAGAACTTATAAAAATCTATCCTGAAAAAGTTAAAAGTAGTAGCCCTAACAGTAACTGTATATATTGTATTTCATTCAATACAGTCAAAAGTCGTTAATCCGGACTCGTCGGGACTTTAGCAATTCCAGATTATCGATTTTTCCAGATTATAGATCATCAGTTTAAATGTGGTAAGATGGCATGCAGAAATTATAGCATTAAAAATATGAAACTGTAATTTATGAAATAAAGAACAATTATGATCTAAAGGGTATCAAAATTTACATAAAAAACCTTAATATTTATTTGTTTACTTTACTTTCTTCGCTATCGGAAGCGAATTATAATGACGAGGAATTTGATTTAAATCATATCAAAGACGAAGTACATCGAGATGAAATACTACATTTAGTAAGGAATTATAAGCCAAATAAAATCTTCGGAATGGTTAGATAAACAAATGATATGCCTTTATCCATTTTTTGCAGCAATTCCACTTTTTGTTTAAGGGACTTCGAAACATACTTTGTAGATCCTTTACATATTAGTAAATATATATCGGAAATTCTATTTGACATAATCGAAAGTTCAAGCTTACTTTTAAAAAATTGCTCTAACAGTCTGCAAAAAATAATAAGCCAGATCCAATTTGAAGATTAAGGAACAACGCAATCTGCAACATTAATTGAATTAGATAATTTTAGCTTAGCTTATACCGTCCGTTATACGTTAAACGCGCATGCGTAAACGTATTTTGGGCATGTGTACAAGCATGTTTGCAGCCGTAAAGGTTTTACGTGCATGCGTCAACGCAGAAAGTTTGTAGCTTTGAGGTCCGGATTATAGATCATTCCGGGTGTCCGAATTAACGACTTTTGACTGTATAATTATTTTTTACTCGAGTTCCTCAGTTCTTTCATGCTTATGTTGGTTTTAACCTGAACTGAGGTATAATTTTTTTATATGAAATTATTTGAGGAGCTTAAATAACTATAGTATCGAATGACTAAACAACTATTAAACTACTGCATGAAAGCTCATTTGAAAAATGTTTTTAAGTAATTTTGCTGCTATTCAAGCAATTCAAAATTATTAAGTTTTGTTGTTTATCATACTATGTTCTGTTGCATTTTGAAAAGTACTCTAATGATGCCATATAATGGGCTGTGATTTATCAATTTCAATATCATCTTTTCTTTTTCATTTGTTGCATAAAAGAACTGTTTGGTAGTTGCATATGTTGAGCTGATATTATACATAATAAATAGAAAGAAAAATTTATGTGCATATGAAGACATAACTGTAACATGATTAACTGTAACTCGTATGTGTATGTATGTCAGATTAAAATTATGTAAATCAAAATCCTAACTTTAATTTGCTATGGTCTCTTGACTCTGCTTTTTAATTACTGCTTATACTAAATTGCATCATTTCTAAATTAATCCATGTCATATGATTCTTATACAATGCTACCAATGCAGGCACTTACGTAAACACTTCAGTGAATAAGATTTCAATCAGAACTTAAATCTTTTATGAATATCTCTTTGGAAAATTCAAAAATAAAACTTTTTTCGTTCTGAGCTCAGCTTTCTTCTGTGGTACAATGCATTCCTGCTGCTTACTTGCTAATCTGTCAACATCTTGGCACTTACCTTTCTTCATCCATCATATTGCCGTAAGATACAGAATAGGCAAATATGATCAAGGTATGTGTGTGCAGATTGCACCTGGTATGATGTTTAATTAATTTTAAGAATGTGCTCACCAAGAATAAAGAAAACTCTGTTTTTCAGCCATGACTGCAAGTATCTGAATCTTCTCTTCCAAATTATTTCAAGAGTAGTTTACATATTTTTTACATTAAGATAAATATTTATTAATTTAAAAAATAAAATAAGTATTTTTATTATTTCTCTTAAATGCTTAAATTCGGGGTCTGATTATTACCTAACTTGAAAAACCCAGACTTAGGTCCCTAAATGTTTTAATGAGCTTCTAACCATCCTACAGTTTCTTATATTCTTATTTTTCATAATAAAAGTAAAGAAAATGGGCTTTGGAAGTTCTTGGAAGAATGTTTTCTGAAGGGTCCCAAACTATTTTGGGAGGCATTTCTTAAATGTAATTTTTTCAACTAAGGTATGTATTGTAAATTTATATGATTTTGCTTCTGTTTGCTTCATAAAACACAATTTCCATTTAGGTACATGATTATTCCTTTCCTGTATGAACTTAGAAGCCTCATGGATTGGATTTGGACTGATACGAGTATGAATATAAGTAATTGGCTAAAAATGGAAGATATATATGCTAATATATTTGTTCTCAAATGTACACGAAGAGCAGAAGCTGATTACCCTACACCTCGAGGTGCAAAACGAACTGCTCTTATTAAATATGGTGTGGGAGGTTTCTTGCTCTTTTTCATTATACTTATCATTTGGTTTCCTTTGTTACTTTTTGCACTGGGAAATACAGTCGGACGAACTAATCCACCCATCAGCTGTACTGTTGAGTTATCCATTACTGGTTATGAACCAATATTCCGCACAACTGCTCTGAAGCACCAGATTCACAGTTTTACTTCCAATCAATGGAACCAACTTGAAAGAGAAGTAGCCAACTTAGCAGATCCATCAACAACGAGTTTTTTAACTGGTTATGATAAAGATGATACTGTCATTGTTGAACTCAGTAATAATTCTACCTCAGTATGGACAATTAGCCCTCCTAGTCAGAATGCATTAATTGAGGAACTTCGAGGCACAAATGAGCTCAAAATGGTATTATCATGGTCATTCTTAAGAGAAAGAGAAACTCAAGCTACGGAACCAGAAGTAAAAGATGAAATAGAATTAAATTTGAATGACACTGAATTGAGGAGAAGTCTTGCAGATGCTTTAAGTGTTAATTCGGGCAATTCAACAACTATACATGGAGCATCTCCAGAATCAACCACTATCAAAGATATATTTCCAAATTATGTGAAAATACCTGGGAAAGGTACAGCATCAGTGGTTAAGCAGTTCTACAACAAAGAAAGTAAGTTTTATACTTATCTTGTACTTTTTATATTGAAATGCTTTAAGCAAACTTGTGAATAAACATAATTTTTTTTTTACCACATGCAGCTATTCTCATCTTAACGAGTGTAACTTACTACTCATATAATTTTATCATTCAGTGTATCAAATACACTGTTCATCATTAATTTAAAAAACTGTTTGCTTTACAGGAAATTAGTTAATGTTGTTCCATTATATTGATTTGAATGAAGAAAGTGTGTACACCAAAGCTCTGAATGATTTTACTTTTCTATAAAATGCCTTTTCTTTGAAACTACAACAAGAATGCCTTCTTCGAAAGGCGAACTGTAAATGAATTTCTTGAAAGCTACTAATGAAGATTTTGTAAATTTTATTTGAAATGTAATCTGTTCTTCAACTGCCACTTTTATTACATCATTTTTGACAGAAGTATACCTCACAGTCTTAAGTGTAAAGAAAGACAAGTCTATATTTTAACTTAAAATTTTTAAGGTGCTTTACAAGAATATAAGATAGCCTCATGTATATGAAGTTGATATGTTGAAAATATTCTACAGGAAATATAATTGAATAGCCTGTACCATGTAAGATAGATAACCTTTTTTTTTAAATACACATTCAGAAGAGAAATAATAGAATATATAATTGTACTTTTTGAATGTTTGTCTGCACATATTATTTGGGTATGGTTTTCAGAAGAACATTTTCTAGAAAGCTACATTGTATGAGATACAGTGAATTAGAATTTGAAATACAGTACACTCCCGATTATCCACGGAATTGGGTGGCGCGGCCGCCGCAGATAACAAAAAACGCGGATAATCCACAAAAAGCTAAAAATAGGTATAGCAAAAGAGAAAACAGTCATTCCAACTTGGAAAAATTGTTTTATGTATAATAAAACGTGAAATAAACAGCAGGAAATGTTTAACTAACGCTTAATATTTTAGTATATCACTCAAAACTAACCTAAAATGCATTTTGTTAATGAAAACAGAAAAGTGCTTTGTATACTTACGAAAGGCATCAAGGATACACAGAAAAATTAATACATATGTACTGTTTTAATACTGTAATGTATTATGTAATTACAAAAGCATAACTGTAAAACTACACCTTTTTGAAGAAATCAGTCATTTGTGTTTGCTTCTTGCTTTGGAAGTATTTTCTCTTGATCCGAGATTGCATTTTTCGTAACATAAGTTTCTCTGCCAACTCCGCGTCGTCTTGTTCTCCCAAATAGCTCAGCAGTCCGTCGACTTGTTGCAAAGCCACTTCGTGAGTCTTCCACATCTGTACAGTGGCTCTTCTTCACTTCGCTCTCCTTCATTTTCGGTCTCTTCTCTTGCTTTCTTCACAATTTCGTCATCTGTCAAGCGTTCGAAGCCAGGTTCGTTGACGTCACACCCCAACCACTCATTAATGATTTCAGCATCGACGTTCTCACCACCCGGAACTGTTTTCACCATATCAGCAAGAGTTGGCATAGGCGTGTCTACATCTTAATTCTCTTCCTCACAACTCAAAGGGGTTAGGTTGTTGCTGGCTTCAACATTAGGCATGAGTTTTCTCCATGATTTTATGAGGGTTGACGGTTTCACTGAGTCCCATGTAGATGCAATATCATAGATTCTGTCCAAAATTATGTAGTGTTTCCAAAACTCTTTCAGATCATAACCTTCTTCAATTGTGGTCATTAGCAGCTAGGTTTGGTATGTTCTCTTCATTGTTGCAATGACTCCTTGGTCCATGGGTTGGATTAGTGCAGTAACGTTTGGAGGGAGAAACTTTGCAAAAATTGTCCATCAGAAGACTTTAGCACGCTTGTTGCTGAGTGAGAAGGTGCGTTGTCGATCAATAGCACAGCTTTTTCAGGCAGGTTTTTCGATTTAAGATGAAAAACGCACTTGAAGAACAAAGATTTTTTTGAACCATTCTTGAAAAATGTTTCGGTTCATCCTCCCCCCCCCTTTTTTTTTTTTAAGTAATCAACGGGAAAATTTTCTATCCTTGTGCTTTTGAAAGATCTCGTTTTTTTTTTTTTTTTTTTTTTTTTTTTTTTTTTTTTTATACTTTCCAATAACAACAAGTCTAAGTTTATGTCCACCGATAGCATTACTGCAAGACATAATATCCTTTCCTTGCTGCTTTTATGACCCACCGCTTTACTTTCACTTTCAAATGCTAAAGTGTGAGTGGGAAGACACTTCCACAAAAATTCCGATTCATCGGCATGGTAAATTTGTTCAGCTCTTCTTTTAAAACAAATTCTTCAAATTCATGGTGGAAATTGTCGACTGCTTGTTGGTCACCACTAAGTTTCTCCCCATGAAGTCTAATTTTTCGAATTCCATGTCGCTGCTTAAAACAAATCAACCAGCCAGAAGACGCATCAAAATTTCCTTTCAGGCCTAACAACTCAAAAAAGGCTTTTGCCTTTGCCGCAATGATAGGACCGTTCACAGGAGTACCCTCTTTTCGAACTTGAGCTAACCACTCGGTCAGTGCAGTGTCTAGCTCAGCAAAGGTAGAACCCTTCATAGTTTTTCGTGTTTTCAGTGTGGAAGCACTGTCCGACATTAATGCAAAGTTCACCAGTTTGTCTTTTTGCTTTAGAATCTCACACATTGTTGTTTCCGCATTTCCATAATCCAATTCCATCTGCTGCCTTGTAGCACCATTTGCTACTTTGGAAATTAATTCTAGTTTTTGCGCAATCGTCAACACAACCTTCTTTCATTTTCCTGCCATTTTAAATCGGTAACGAAAAAACAAAACCAAAAAGCACAAGCACTGAACATAAAAATTAAAACTCTGACCGGTTCGCAAACACTATCAGGCTTAACTAACAATGGGGAGTGGGAGGAAGTGGACGTGTCAGTAAGATTAAGAGGAGAGAGGGTGTGGAGCGGGCACTGTAAGGGTGAGTAAAAAATCACTTACTCATCAGAAGGGAAGGTTCTGAGAAGGCCTGGGATATTTTTGCCATAAATAAGCACGATGTTAGCAAATGTAACTTTTTGCTGAGTTTTGTGAACATTTTTATTTTCTTTGCTTTACGCTTGTTTAAAAAAAAAAAAAAAAAAAAAATCTTTGTGCGGCAGGCGCGGATAATCGGGAGTCTACTGTATTATATCCCAAGCAGCCAAAGCATTAAAATCAGTTTTTGCTGTGCAGATTCGTGCTCTTGTGGCTAACAATTGATGTGTGCTAAATGCTCGATACATTTAGTGCTGGGATTAGAGTTTTATAATTTGATGTTTTGTTTTGTGTGAATGTGAGAATGAGAGAATGAGAAAAATGATTTCTCCAATTTTAATAAATGGTAAATAAGTACGAGAAAATGCTCTGGTAGTAGCATCTTCAAAGCAGCAATGCTAATATGATGTTTGTGCTATGTACTAGTTGGTACTGTCATAAATGATGTGAAACAGGTCATGTGCTGTGGACAACAAGGAGTTTGTTGTTGTTAAGTGGGGATTGGAAGAGAAATGCAGGAATGTAGACATTGAAAAGAAACCTTAGAATAAAAAAAAAAAAAAAAAAAAAAAAAAATTAAGATTGACATAGATTTTGAATAAAAGTGCATTGATTTCATAGGCAAGCTGAACTAGATCCCTCTTGAGCCTAATTTTAACCCATTAAAGACCAGAATTTGAACATGATATTTATTTGAAAAATATTGATTGTTCCCATCTTTTATAGTCATCAGAAGATTGCTGTATGTATTAAAGCTTGATTGTAATTATATTTAAATTATGATTATTATTATATTTAAGAATACAGTGGTAATTATGTTAAATTATAACTACTGATGATTTTTGAAAGTAATTTACTAATATACCCATCTATGTTCTCTACTAGATTGATACTTTAAGGCAAGTCACATTGAGCTTGGTATTAGTTATATTTAAATCCTAATTATTGTTACATTTAAGTATATAATGATCATTATGTTAAATCATAATTATACTTTTATATCTACCAAAGATTTCTGAAGATAATTTACTACCACACCTATCAGTATTCTCTGCCAGATTGTTACTGAATGCAAGTCACATTGAGTCACTTTGTGGTCCTTTAGCATTACCGCAGGCCGTCTAACATTACACTTTGTTAACTTATTGCATCTAGTTAGAATGTATAATAAATAATTGCTGAGTAAAAGAATAATAACATATTTACAGTTGCCATAGTTTTAAAGCCATACAAATATACATCCCAAACATGGAACATTTGCCTTTAATAGGTTAAAAGATGTAATTTTTATGAAAGTCTATTAACTGGTTATTATACTGCAAAGCTTAAATTTCCAGATATATCTTTTTATTCTGTTTAAAAGTAACGTGCTTATTGTAGAATATATGATTTTGCTAGTGGTATTTATTGAGTGCAAAACTAAAAATAATATTTAATATTTCTAAAAGTTTTATGATTATTTCTGAAGCTTTCTGAAGGAAAATAAAGGTTTTTATTTTCATAAGTAAATTATAATAAATATAATAAAAATTTTTGTCCCTTATCATTTCATTTTGCTTTTATGTTTATTTATTTATTTGCACTAAATTGTATTTTATAAAATAGCTCAAAAAGGAAAGGAGTTCTTTGGAGCGTCTCCATTCCGAAGCTTAAATATATCCATGTGGACAGGAGCTATGTTAAATGCAACAGCTATGCCAAATTCATCTGTAGCACGTTACATTGAATGGTGGGAAGTTCAGGATGATTGCTCTCATGGAAAACCGTACAGACTGGAGGGAATTGATAACTGTAACTTTTTGCGTCTCATTGCATTTAGTGACAAAGCTTTTCCATCTGAATTATCTATCATTTCTGGATATGGGTAAGATGTGTTGTTTATTAATTATGTAATTTGCAGTGATTGTTTAAGTAAATTTTTTGTCTCTGTCTGACTTATATCAAGGGGGTGAGATACTTGCCTCAGTCAAGAAATGAAGGGGAGCTCTGAAAATCTAAATTAAAAATGAAATGGAGTATTAATATGAAGGTGATTAACCCTTTCCAGGTGACATGGCAATGTCATGCTTTGTCGCTGTGAGATGGAGTACTGGGCTTCCATGCTGTCTCCACAAGATGGCGAAATGGCTAAGCCTAATTTTGCTAAAAAAAATTAGCAAAAATACATTTTATTCCAATTAACTCAACTTTTTCAAATATTTCAGGAAATACATACATCTTTATGCTTGATGAATTATAGAATTAAATATATACAACATTTGCAGCTGTAATTATAATATATAAACAATGTAAGAGTAATTTAAACATAAGCTTTCAGCATTTGTTAAACTACAATTAAAAATGTTTAATATAAAGCAACAAACCTACACAAACACATACATATGTACATTTACAATGAAATTAAAAAAATTTTGTTTCTGTGTAATACATTTTGAAGCATGTGTCCATGCGGAATCCTGAATTATAATCTTTCCACTCAAAGTAAGATGTTTTTCCCAAAGCTTGCTTTTTCTGCATAGTTTGAGAGCAAACAGTTTATCTTCTTCTCATTTTCTGTTTCCTTCCATTAAGAATTAGGAATGTGTCTTTCTGAAAGGTGAAATGGTATCGGTGTAGCTAATGCCCAAAATTGACATTCTCTTCTGTATATGATTTTTTCTGTAATTTGATTGATTACTTTTAATCGAAGTTGATGTAATGGTCTTTTTGTACCATATTTACATATAAAACATGAGCATTAAAGACCGTAATATCGAGGAGCCTAAAAAATAATTTCTTATACTATTTGAAAGATTTTCTATAAGATGGAAAGTGAGTAGTGACTGCATCTCTAATATCCACTCCTCCCATATTTTTATTGTACAGCAATATACAGTTTGGCTTCTCGCAGGGGAGTCAGTAGGGAAAATGACTGACTCCGACTCCTGGAATTTTAGACTCTGACTTGACTCCAACTCCCTCATATATATATGCAAACATATACACATGGGTTACAACTTTTTTTTTAATATAAAAACAGTAATAGATGCTACAGAAAAAATTGATGGCATAGAAAATTATTTTTATTAATTAGCATTTATTATGAAATGGCAAAACTGGCATTGGTTATTTCTAAGAAACAGTGTAGCTTCGGCAAGATCTTCTTTGTTGGAGGGCCATATATCCAATTTGCTAAACTTCAAAGCTGTGAAGAGTCTTTCCACACTAACTTGAGGAGGAAGAGCTGTTACTGTTAGGACTACTTCTTTTAACTTTTCAGGATAGATTTTTATAAGTTCTAAAAGAGGTGTCTTGCAAGTGCAATCATATTTCTCTATTTCTTCAAAAGCTGTGTAGAAATTTTGTTTGTATTTTTTCATTTTTATATCTAAATGGCTCTTGGTTCTTTTACTTTTCATTTGCTTTCTCTTCGTCCTTTTCAATATTATTCCAAAAATATTTCTCAAAATCTAATTCATCACTTGGAAAGAGGAATGGTAGAGACTTTGGTTGCAATGTCTGCTCTGCAGCTTTGACTTTCCTGATTTGAAGACTCTCCAATTGCTTCTGAGAATAATTTCATTCCTCAATGAAAGTTCATAGATGGCTTTTCTTTGCCTTTTTAATTTGTTCGTCATCCAACAAAATGCGGTGTTTTGGATCTACATAGTATTGAACCCAGCAAGATCTCATTGTCATAGCCAAACTAGTTTCTCTCTTCTTCACTTGAACAAATGATTTCTTCTGCAATAAACCCTCCATTTTAGAAAGAATAAACATCCCATGTTTCTATTCTCGCCTCCTGTCAATTCTTCAGATTGCAACGTTTTTTAGCTATGTATGGTGTAGAAAGAAGCGTTTCCAATTCTGCAAGATCGTTCCACAGTCCTTCTGTTAATGAAACTTTACGGTTATCTACATCTTCTAAAAAAGTTCTTAATTCTAACAACCTCTTTATCATCAAATATGTGCTTGTTTATCGTGTTGCTTGATCAATAATTGCCCTTTTTCCTACTTGCTTTCCTGAAAATGGCATCAATTTGGGAAGTTCTTGCTGCTATTGCTGCTTACCTAAATTTAACAGTGAAATGTGTAACTAAATGAATCAGTTTAATCACTTATGGCAAAAATCACATCCATCCTCCTCCCTTATATTTATTTATTAATATGTCAATAAAATAGAAAATAACTATTTATTAATATATATTTTCCATAAATGAAAATAGTAACTCAGCTTGTCATTAATTTTTTTCTATTCATTTTAATTTCATTTTCAAATTTAAACTGTCCAACAGACTCCAGCTCTGACTCTTATTACCCCAAAATCTGCCCAATTCCATGACTCAGACTCCACAGCTCTGGTTTCTCGATACTTTCCCCCATTTTGTAATTTTGTTTATTGCTAAAGCCCTGACACCGCTGCTACTCGGATCTTCTTGTAATAAGGCTGTATAGTAAGCTTCCAATAAATATCTCTTTTGTTTTGACAACTTAAAATAAATAAATAAAATTAAAATTTATCTTCTTACGAAAGAAAAAACCCTTCACTATATATGCAAAGAAGAAACTAACTAAAAAGTGCACTAGTACGAGATAGTACTTTCTCAGAAAGCCACTTGAAACTTAAACAAAGACACGTGTGCATACCTAACATGCTTGCTTACATTACTGAAACCTTATTATCTATCTTTCAGAATCAAATGAAACACCCCAAGGTCAAAGTTCAGGCATCGTATTCCCATTTAGCTTGTTACCATGGGCATAGAGTGCCATTTATTAGAATAAAAAATATTTCAATTTCGTTCCATGTGGTGTCACGTATATGTTATAGCCATCTAGTTAGATACTAATCATCCAAGATGTGCACGTTATACCGGCCATAGATGAAATGAATGCTACCATGGCATATATAGCACACCCATTGGGAAAGGGTTAAATAAAAAGTATTTAGAGGATTCTGCTTTGAGATATGCTTCTTCTTTCCAGTGTTGAGATTTGTTATACGTTGAAAGCTTTTGTTTTCCTCTCTTTTATTTATTTTCATAAATCCTTTTATCTGTATTAATAGTAATGGTATCAGTGGAGACAGAAGAGCATGCTAATTCTTGCATAGTTCTATGTCTAGATGTATGCTGGTAAGAAACACCATAGTACTTTAAATCCCTCTTAATGTTGCTCATATTAGAGTGGTTTGTCCAGAGATGGAGTAACCAATAATAAACTTCATAAGATGCCATTCATGGTAGTGCTAGATGATTGCCATAGTACTTTCTAAATCCTGAGGTTCTTGGTTATTCTGTGGTTAATTTGAAATTTATATTTTTAATTTTTTGGAAATCTTGGAGGACTACAAGGACAGGCTTTGAGGACCATTTGTAGCTCACGGACCATAAAATGAGAAAGCCTGGTTTAATGTATTTTCCATCATTGTAGCCTAATTTCTATATATATACACAGCTCAAATTAATGGCTAATTTGGAATCATTGTAAATGTGGTTTGATGCAGAAAATCTAACTAATTTCAAAATTTGAATCACTCTTTATTCATGATTGAATAACATTTTAGGTATAAAATTCAGCCACACTGTCTTAATTCTAAACATGAGAATTCAAACTTGTTTCTAAGTCTGAATTCATAAAACTCGGTTTTAAATTGTTATAATATATATATATATATATAAATCAGATGTGTTGTTTAATAAAATTTTGTGACTAATCAGAGTGAAAAGTATACAGTATTTATAGTTCTTAAAACATGCATATTTGATACACAGAATTGTGTTTACTTTGCTCATCTGAATTGTGTTGAAGGAAATTCATTTCTCAGTGCAGTAAATCGTTTTTTTTTTTTTTTTTTTTTTTTTTTTTTTTTTTTTTTTTTTTTTTTTTTTTTTTTTTTTTTTTTTTTTTTTGTTTAGATATTATCTAAAGATAGGTTAAATTTTAGTTTTTAACTTGTAGTTTCTGTTTTGAAAATTTTACCTGAATTAGGATGTAACATATTTTATTTATAAAATTTTTATGCTGTTTATTATTTTTTATTCCAGAATTGTTGGCTTATACACCACATTTGTACTTGTTGTGTCACGTCTAGTGAGAGGCTTTGTTGCTGGCACTTCATTCACCATTATGTTTGATGACATGCCTTATGTAGACAGAGTACTTCAGTTATGCCTTGATATATATTTGGTCAGAGAAAGTGGTGAATTTACTCTTGAAGAAGATCTGTTTGCTAAGTTAATATTCTTGTATCGCTCTCCAGAAATGCTTATCAAATGGACAAGACCACCAGAACTTGAACCTGAAGTCGGTAGAGATGAACGACAGTTACCTGGTGTACAACGATAGCATGCAGAAGAAAACAACGATTTGTCTTTCATTTTGATGTAAGCTTACTTTTAAATTATTTTGTATGTATTTTATTTTGTCTTCATTTATTAACATTTGAAAGAATTAGAAAATTATATTGTTTTACAAACTGAGTCATTTTATATTGTAAATACTCTATGTAATATACAGGGAAGTCATTTTGATATAGAATGGTTGCTTAAAGCCAGTTCCATGTATGAATGATGAAAATAGTGCCTGATAAAAAAAGTGTATTTTAAAGCAGTGATTACAAAATTTTTTTATTCGCAATATGTATCATGTGTCAATATTTTTCCATGGCATTTTTAATAAGATTATTGGACTCTGCATAACAGTTACTGGGGTAGGTAGATTATGTGTAGTTATAGGTATAGTGAAAATATTTATATTTTGTGAACATGAATTATTATTTTTAAGATTATTTATAATAGTAATTGTAGCGAGAGTGTGATGACGGGATGTAGTTCGTGAAAGTACATATCAAGGATTTCATTCAAGAATAGTTCTAAGTGGGCTAATATTAGGAATATTATTATTTATTGTAAGAGAAATTTTTTTTTTTTTTTTTAAGATTTTTTTGAGCGTTTTTTCATTCAAGATTAAGTCCAACTGTGGAGTTAGGGGCTTCCTGACCTCCTCAACTGACAAGTTTTTGACATTAGGTTAAATTTTTAAAAAAGGAAAGCTGTATTTTAAATTCACAATCAATTTTTGTGAAAAGTATAGATTTTTACATAAGGTGAACTATCAAATACTAGCCAATAATCATTAGTGAAATAAGTAAGTCTATTTCACATTGCTCATTTTCTGAAATCAAGTTAGACATAGCCAGCCTTGCTTCAGTACTTGAGTATTAATGTTACCACCTTGGTGCATTTTGGCAGTTTTTTGCAGATAAAAAGAAAAATTAGAAAGATTCCCAAACTGTCGATATTTATCGTAAGTTTGTGAACATTATCAAAATATGAAAAGGAAACATACTTTACCAAATTAAAACACAAATTTGAATTATTAAATAAGGATTATGTAATGCATTAAAAAATAAAACGCTTACATTCTTCAAATCTTTCTGTAATATTTTTCCGTCGTTCTTCTCTGGAAGTATACTGTGATCAGTTTTTGCCTCAAAAACCATCTGAAAATTGTGAAGACTTGGCTTCATGCAATCAGTTCGCAATAACAGTGAGTATTGAAGAAACACGTTTCGTCATTGTTCCCTTTAGAAAATTTTCAGCAAAATTCTGTATTCTTGCAGAAATTTACCCACAGTTTCTTTCATTGCTGAAAAATCTCACAAGCTCATATTCTAAAATTAAGTTTAAAGCAAAAAAATATCATTATTTGTTTATGAAAACCATGGGAATTTGGAATGCAAGAAAAAAATAATGCATAAAAAAATAAAAGCATTGCTTACCAAAAAAATTGTTATGAGCCTGGTTGCTGGAATAATAGTTATGTGCATGGTTGCCAGAGTTTGGCACATTCTGAAAATTTAGTGACTTCTACCAGGGTGATTGCATTAATACACAAGTATCCTTGTGTCATGTTTTACATTAATTTTCTAATAGTACTTGCTTTTTATCACAGTGATTGTTGAAAATTTATACATGAATCAATTATGAAAATATGGCATGACAAATGAAATTAAAGATTTACTTATTTTTATCACGAAGATGGATATCCATCTTTTATTGATGTCTAAAATATGTCAAATCCTTTCTGTCAAGTTTTGTCTTCTTGCATTTTTTAACATTGGCTTAAGAAGATTTTCTTCTTCAGATGTAAATTCAGAAGACGCTTTAGCCCTCAATGAGTTTTTGAATCCATATGAGCTTGTCAACTCTTTCTTCTTGGAAGTAATTTTTAAATCAATTGATAAATTTATGAGGTATTTTCTCCCTTCTTTCTGCATGCCTTCATGATGTAATTGGAAGCATACTTGATGCATATTCAAGAGGTCTAGGGTTCGAATTCCATTGAGGGTATAGCAAATTTTTAACATCTCTTGCTTAAAAAAAAACTGATGTTTCTACAAGTAGTGCCCAAACTAAAAAGTGGTGGACAATAATTCATCACTGTCACCCTTAAAAAGAGAGTATATAAGGTATTTTCCCTCTCCTTTCCGCAGTGTAATTGGAAGCTTATTCGACACATATTTGAAAGATCAAGGGTTCGAGTCCTGGTGAGGATATTGTACATTTTTCACGTCTCCTCGTTTAAAATAAAAAGTAATTACTTTACAAACTGCTGTGTGTTGTACTGCACATAATATTTGAATCTGATAATTTTTCTTCACATTACTTAAATAAACTTATATTGCTTATATGTAATTTATTGCATGTTGCTTAAAATATAATTTGTTAATTAACTGCTTGTGTGACTAATGATCTAAAGTAGTTATTATAAAAAAGAAAAAAGTAGATGAGGATTTTAATAAGTAGTGTAATTTCACAGGTTCAGCTAGTAGTTAATAATAATAGATATGAAACATTGTGTTTATTGCTTTTTAAGTGATGCTGATTTTAAATAGCTTTAATTAGTTTGTAATCAATAACAGGCAGATCAAATTGGAAAGAAAAACTAAACAACTTTGCTAAATGGGAAGTATTATATGTTGCATTAAAATTTTCATTTAAGTTTTTCTTACATTTAAGTTTCTATATAAATTTATAGCTTAGTTTTTTATGCAGGTCAAATCTTCATTTAATAATATCGTTAGTATTATTTCATATTTCAGAGCAAGTGCTTTAATGAAGACTGACCAAGGAGCCTTGTATGTGTGACAGCAAATTAATGGGATGCAATATGTGCCAGAATGGCATTTTAACTAGTCAGAAAAGAAGAGTGAATTGTATTCTTTTTTTTTTTTTTTTCCTGAGAATGAAATTAATTTTCTATTTAGATGTATAAATTTTTAGAGAATCATTCAACATTTTTTTTACGTGAATCATAATTGCCGTTGTTTATTTATAAACTATATGTTGCATTTCTCTCTCAGTGCTCTGGACATATAAATACAGTATGTAGACAAAAACACATCATTTCTTTCTAGAAACACAAGCATTTGAAGAGAAACAAACATATTTGTGATATTTATATCAAAATTTATATTAATTCTGTCCCAGTTTCATTTTCCAAACCGTATTCATGTCATTCATATATTAATGTTACAAAAAGCATGAAAAAACTTAATCAGAAATTTATTTTCTGTACAACTTTTTAAATTGATCTCTTTAGATCTCATATTAAATCATTTATTGTTTTGAATTAAAAGATTTATTCTAAATTCTGTACATCTGTGCATAAGTTTCCTAATAATTTTTAAGTATGTAATTTTTTTTAATTCGGTTGGAAATTCAATGCTAGTTAGATAACTGTGATCATCTATTGATCAGTAATTGGTTTTTGATCACATTATTATATTAAAAAATATTAAAGCTCTATTGTGTTCGTTTTATTTTTTGAAATTGCTTATAATTGATATCAAATTGGTGATGGGAGCATATTGAATACTTATTTTGTTAAAAGTTTTGATTGAAAAATTATGTTGTATTATTATGTGTTTATTTATTTTTGTGAAGTTAATAATCATTTTAGTGTATAGAACTATATGTTAAATAGTTGGTGCTTAACTGTATTTGTGCATTTAAACTTTTAATGGTTAATTTTTTAAAAAGTAATTATAGCACAATAATCACAAGCAATATATAGATATATATTACAATTAACTGTTATGAAATATATTTTTTAACTAGAATATTCCTTTGAAATCTGTGCTGAAGTCTGGATCATTGTTATCATATGCATGATTATTTTTATTCTGTTTAGTGTTTTTTTAAAGTGTAAAGATCTTATAACTATTTTATGTAAATTCTTCATATACTTTGATATTTGAATCAAAGTATATTTGTGACATAAATTATTTTTGATTAAAATAAAATTTCATACATTTTAATGCAAGAAAACCTTATCAAATTATTTATTGTATATGTGTGTTTAAATTTTTTAGATGTTCAAAATACGATTTTTTGTTCTGTAAAAGAGATTTTTCAAATCTTCTTTGTTTTTAATTGTTGACTAGAATATTTGAAAAAAAAATATGGTTTGCCTGGAAGGTGTGAGGAGTTTTAAGTGTTAAATAATAAGATCTTAATGTGATTCTAATGAGGATATATTTGAGTCAGGGTATGTTTGTAGCAATATATATATATATATGAAAGAAATTATTTCTAATTTATTTCTCTTCCCTAATGTATAGATAGTATTGTTTTTTTTCTATGTTGTTATCCCACTGTTAGTTTTCAGAGTTTAACTGCTTAAAAGTGCATTCGAATTTTTTTTGTTTACATGTCACACCACTTGTTATTTAAAAGTTTACTACATCTGGTATGTAATTATGTTTATTCTTATTTTTTAGTATAACTAACGCTGTCTGTAATATGAAAATAGCAAATATACATATAACATAATTTTAATGAATTACTTTATGTGAAATATATATGCATTTTGTTCCTCCTTTCTTTAAACCATGCAAATGATTTAATTGCTGAAATTTCGACATAATTGCCTTTTTAAATTTTTTGTCACTTCTGTTTTTATTAGCTTGTTTCTATTAGCTTTAATTTACCCATAATCAAGTCAATATTAAAATTTAAGTGGGCTATCTCATTAGTTTGTGATATGTTTTTATACTTAATGAATAGAGCAGAAGAAATGTAATTAAAAAAAACTGAGTAAAATATTTGCTAAATTTTAGTCTACCAAAATAAATAAATAAATAAGTGATTTTGATGCTAATCTTCTGTTTTCAATGGTCTAATTTTTATTTTTGAAGTATTGTATCAATGCTTAAAAATCCATTCATTTAAAATCAAATTTTTATTGTCATAATAAAAATGAGTATTTAGATCTGTGGCTGGAAATTACAACAGTAATGAAAATTTCATTTCTAAATAATGGTCATCAATGTTCAAGAGATAAACTGAATAATGATATGTGGTGTAATGTTTATGTAAGTATTATCATGCAAAAAAATACTATATGATGCATTTTTGTGTACAGATGGATAAATTTCTGAAGGGGATAGAATACTATGCATTAAACATTTTGCTATAAACTGTACATAATTATGTAGCTACTCATATTTTGTAACTTTTTTACGGTTTAAATAAATTGCAATAGTTCTGCTGCCTTTCTAATAATTAATGTTCTGTGTATTTTAAGCAACAAACAGTATGAAGTTTGAATTTTTAAATTAGAAAGTGTGGTTATTTATTTGAATATATTTTTATGCTTAAACATTGTTGAATCAAAAATCACTTATAAAAATGTTATTCAATAATGAGATATTGTGCATCATTTTATACATCATTGCTGTAGTAGAAACCTAATAATTTGACTTTAGGTTAGGAGGAACATGGTCACTCAATTTTTTTTTATTACATTGCTATAGATTGCTATAGAAGCTGTCTTCTTTAGTAAGCCACTTAATAACTGTTCTTGAAAAAGAATTCTTTACAAATACATATCTCTTAAACTAACGCCCTTTAATAATGAGTTTTGACTACTTTATCCCTTTAAGAATCCTATCCTTTTAAGAATGAATTTTGACTACAATATCTCTGAAAAAGACTTATTCTGGGGTTAATCCTTTTAAAGTACAACACTTGAGCCCAGTATGAATGCGCCGCCTGCGATGTAATGACACTGCCACCTGAGGACCGACTGTAGGGCACTGCACTGTCCAAGGTCTCCACTTGTCTACCGTACCACCGTCTTTTCCCTCGGAATGTATAGTCACACAGTGCTCATAGTCAATATGAAACTGGGGAGCTAGTGGAGTGCATTTTCCATTATCGACATTCCGAAAAGCCGCATTGTTGGCAGTGATAGCTGTGAGGAAGGTGAAAATAATTATTAATAAAAGCATAAAACTGAGATTTCTATTTATGCCTTCTGAAAGTAGAACGCTGCAGTAAAAGTCAAACCTTGGTATAATGAACTTTCAAGAGGCATGAAGTTTGGTTCTCTATATTTGATCTGATAAGAAAAATGAATTGTATCATATCACAAAGTATAAAAATTAACTGATGAATCATAAAATTTTATGAAATTTGTTCATATGTAAATAATTTTAGTGAAATTATATGATAAAGTGTAGTTTTATTTATTTATTATTTTGTATAATGTAATATGAAAATCTAAGAGACGATGCTCTGCTGGAAAAATAAGAAGTCTATTTAACTTTGAATAGATGGCTATCTTGCTAAATTGGCAACCTGTCACCAAGCTGGCGATGGTTTCGGCGATATTTTAGTCCCATCCCTGCATAACTAACTGTAATGAGTATTGTAATTGAATAACTATAACTGATCGTATAGCTAACTGTAAACATATCCTGCTTCGAGAAATGGATTTGACCGGAGAGAGCATGTGCTTTAAGAGCCGAGTTCGGAGTATTGAGATCTGTTAGCTTCGCTCTTCAGATGCACTTCGCAATGTGTTGTGTTTAACATTCTTAGTTTAAAGTGTAATTACTGATTTAATCTGTGATATTGGGAAGAGCTCTACAAGTATTTTTGTGGAAAATTCCAGAACTATGAAGTGTTTCTTTTGATAAAATAAATTTTATCGAGTTATCATCAGTTCTGTGAGCATTCACTCCATTACGAACCCGTACGCACTCAACAATATAAACTTTTTTGTTTTGTTCATTATACCAAAAATTAATAGTAACTCTATTTTTTAATCAGATTATTATTATGTGGAATTTGTAAGTGCACTTTTTTAATTTGTCTTCTTTCTTTCTTAATTTCGCGATACGTTAATAATTTTGTACGATAAATTACTTTGCATAAAAAAGAAACTATCTCTCGAAATACATATGTAAGTAGATCCAAAAGTTTGCAGCGTCACATTAAAAAATTGTATGGCAGTAAATTCCTCATGCATGTATATAGTAACGGTACTAAATCGATAAAGTTTTGAAAGTTTCACATGAGAAATTTTATGCGATTTTTTTTTCTTTCTGTTTACTGAACGCACTGATGTACTAGTTTGTTCTGAAATATTTAAAATTAAGTATTGTTTTGTGATTAAATTTTTGAGAAAGTCCCGGCAAGGGCATTGCTCATTTTTCATGACTCCTGCTTTGAAATAACCTAATGTCTCTACAAGATAAAAGAAAATGAAATTCAGTTCGGATAAAGAACTCTAAACTGTAATTTGTAGTGTAACTGAATATTTGTAATTGATCCTTATATGTAATCGTAGTCATATCTGGCCCTCATATGCAACTTAAATCGCACACACCTTCCAGTAATTTTGAGAAATGGAAAGTACTGGAAATTTCTCGGCGGCCAAGGGGGGGGGTTAAAGTGGAAGTGACTCTCACTGCCGTACCGAAGGACCCGGGCTCCAATCCCGGAGAAAGCATGGATGTCAATTGTCTGTCGCTTCATAGGAGGTAACGGTGGCCGCCTATTAATTGCCTCCATAATAAAATGGTCACTGCTTCTGGTCCCAGTAGTGAAGAAAGCCTAAAATGGCTAGTGCCCGCCATAAAAAAAAGTTCAGAGTTGACTTCGAAGTACTGAGAAATCTCCGTGCGAGCTTTGCTCTTTGGATGCGCTGTGCATTGCATTGTGTTTAATGTTCTTAGTGGTAACTACTGAATGGTCTCTGTCATACTGAAAAGCGCCGTATGAGTACTTTTGTATGAAGTTCCAGAAATGTAAAGTGTTTCTTTGGTAAATTAAATTTGATCAAATTATCATCTGTTCTGTGTGCATTTAATTCATTACGAACATGTACGCGCGTAACGATACTGCGGCTTATAATTCAACTATAATATATAAAACGAAATTGGTTAGATCAATTATCCTAGTTGAAGACTAATTCTCGCAAACTTGCTACCCTAATTCTCGCAAACAATTTACAAGTATTTATTTGCGATATAAATACGTATTAGATGTTCAAAAGTGGATAACTAGTCTATGCCCTTTAAATGTGCAAAAGTGGATAACTAGTCTATGCGAATAGATCCTCAAAAAGTTTTACGCTGTGAAACTAATGCGTTAATTACTACCCAAGATTTCGAAGTCGCTGCGAAAGGTAACTCAGGATCAGTATCACTTCGGCAGGGTGCTTTATTAAAGAGTCTGGAATCACCTTGTGGTTCTGCAGCAATATGTTTACAGCTTCTAATTCTGGTTTGAATGAATTCAGCTTTTGTTTTCAAGGCATAATCGTAACGGACACAAAAAAGAGATGATTAATTATGAAACTTAAAACAAAGCTTGTTAATACAATTGAATAATGAATTGAAATTGAATAAAAAATAACGCCAATTAAGGAATTGTAAGAGAGTTTCACATAATTTTATACAGTAACAAGATACTTATTTAATATATAATTCACTCACCAGTGAGTACATAATCTCTAGGACACTGTCTGTAATCTTCGAGATGAATATAAAGTAATCTTGAAGGCTTTTCGCTGAATAAGTCTGATGCGTCCCAGTTGAAACACTTTACTTTGTCTAGATCTCGAAATCCATCTTTATCATCCCTGAAAATGATGAAATAGATTACAAGCGGAGGAGAAAAATTCCTAGGGTTTTCAATAGTTTTTGCTATTTTAGATAAATCGTTTAAAATCCGTTTTATAAAAGATATATAATATGATATTTATATTCCTGAAATATTCATATTATATTCCTGAAAAAAATATATTATAAGATAAACGTTTACAATACCAGTATAAAATACAATAAAATAAAATAGAAAATACTAATTAATGTAATTTATTATGATGCAGTAAAAGCCGTTTAAATGAAATGGTGTAGAAAAATGGTATTCAGACTGAGTCTGTAATCCTCAAGTTTTTTTTTTAATAATGCTTGCCATTGTTTTGTTATTTAGATATTAGGAACATATTTTGTAATGTAAACAGGTAATTTTACTATGTTGTATGTAAAATATTCAGTATTTTGTACGAACTTTGAAATCTTTGTCCAGGAGATGACAGTATCGGTTTGTCGGGGTATTTCTTGCATTTTTCAGAATAATAATTTTTTTGATTTATGCAAAGAGGGGGAGGGTATCAGGTAATGCAACTATAATTTAGTTCAATATGATTTAGTATATGCTTGCGGATATCTGATCTATGATTTCAACTCTGAGTTCAATGTTTGAGTCAAATCGCCACGTTAAGATCCATTCAATGAGGGCATTAAAAAAGAATGCAACAAGCTATCAGTTCATGCATTTCCGTAATGTAATTTCCGATTTTGAAGATCGGCCCCACTGCGTTCGAGTGTGGATCGTAACTTAGCCATGAACTAACTGTGCATGATCTTGCGTTGTATACAAAGCCATTGTGACCGAGCACCTGCATGCATTTGCCTTGGAAAGCATACTTTAGTAACGGAACGATCTGTCTACGGATATCGGCGTACGGAAACAAACGTATCAAGAACCGCAACCTGTTTTACCAGCACATCAAGGACTGTTCCGTTTCCATCTCCACAGAGAATGAAGAATGGTGCCATTACGTCAGCGTGGATTTCATAAAAATTTAAATGGTGGAAAATGTACGGCCTAGGCTCCAGCCGAAACAAAGATCTAGCTACGCAGATTGATGTTTCGTCTTTCATGGGATTCACGCGGCATAATCCTCTAAGAACTTCTCCAAAACATTAGCATCAAAATTAAACTGTAGGAACTCATCTTGCGGACAAACTCAATGAAACGCTGCCACTGCTAGGTGGTTCTTCATTCCTGCAAGGCTGCATTCAGGCATGGTTTCAGCACCGGTATATTAGCATCCCTTTTAAACTAAACATGCTAATAATTCGGAATTGATATTTTTATTTAGTTTTGGATTGTTAAAACAGCTTAGCTGGCGTTTTTAAAAATCGCTGCCTATATGACTATTATCGCTTGTGCTCGGAGCTGGCTCTGGTTGCACATAACTCAAATGAGTAATTTGAAGCTGCTAAAGCTAAGCTCAGAAAGTTTATCTTAACCTCTGCTTAACTGAGATTTTGCGTAAATCGATTGTCAGATTTTCTGGTCTCTAAACTTTATCCTTGAGAAACAGGCCTTCGTAAACAAAGCCAAGATGGTCAAGAAGCTAATAGAATTATTCATTTTTAAACTGAAATAATTATACAGGAATAGGTTTTTTTCAATCTTCCTATACATTGGTCGCAGTCCAGCGACATGAAGTGTGCTTACATTTTGCAATAAGTCAATTTTTATTTTGCAGAAAATAAAAATATTAACAATATGCTCTTAAGGCAACTAGAGTTTTTCAGCAAACAGTTGCCTATTTAATTGATGAGTGACGGGTCAGTTAAAATATGCATTTTGCTTAAAAAGAGAACAAACTAAGTAAACAGAAATAGCAAAGATTTTTATAAAGTATTTTGCAATAATTCCTAGTTAAACTTTTGCCATTCCTATCAAACAGCTACCACTTTTGTTGACTACATTTGAGAAAAACATTTTTCAAAGTAAAAATTTACTGCTATTTATGGAATATTATCAGCTTGAGTTTTAAGTTCATGTATTAGCATCATGCGTTTTTCAAACATTGGTTTCACGATTTTGAATGACGATTGCAATAAAAGACATTAATAAATTTCTAAAATCACAGATGCATGTTATTTTCTGTATGTGTTTTAAATGAAAGAGAAACGTTTAAAGTGGAAATATTTAGATATAATTTGTCCTAATCATACTTAAAAGTTACATTATTGTCGAAAGGAAATAATGCTTATATTACCATGAAAGACCGAATTTGGAGAATGTCGACATTCTCTGGTGAATGTCAACACATACCAAATACTCTGGTGAAAGATCGAATGTTTGATTATATTCTTATACATTCAGACCATCACATGCACATCAACAACATGTGGTAATGGTACATCAGATGTCGACAAGAATAGATATGCTGTGATGAAACGAAAAGCCGAGAAGAAAGAAGTGTTCCAGGACTAAATCCAAAGGAAGGGACTCTTGTGCAATTCAAAGTGTCATAACAGTTTAAGATTTTGCACTAAATAAGATTGTAGGGTGTCCGAATCAAATGCACCTATCTGTGCATGCATCCTCAGTTTTTGATGCAGCACATCATGAATAGTTGATCGTGAAGTATTTATCCATAATGAATAGGAAATTGAAAGCGAAGGCAGATTAAATCTTAATATTTTATTTCAGCAAACATGTTGCGGCTACAAGCAAGTTGGCACATTAATTGTGCCGATTCTAGAATGTTTTCATTTTAGATACATTTTCAGTAAGATAGAAGGAGCAGACGATAGCAGTCCAGCTAGGCTAAAGCGTTGAAAGCAAGTGCGTTGTGCAGGGTGAAATCTTAATTCAGACTGAGTTAGTTTCGGTTCTCAATGCATTTTGATTGGATAGTTAATATTGCCATAAAATTTCTGTTGGCTGCTTGAGTTTTAGTTCCATTTACATCACCAGAATTATGTAAGAGTCATATGACATGGATTAATGTAGAAATGACGCATTGCAGAGAGAGGTTACTGTTTTTCGAATTGAGAAGGGAAATTTACGCTGCTAATTTAATATTTTACATATTTTTTACTTTTCTTACACACATATATATATATATATATTAACAAATAATCAAGTGTAAGGAAGGCCTATTAGCCTTTTAATTCCCCTTTTTTAATTTGTTTGTTTCCTCATTTTTCGAAATAAATTAATAACATTTCTCAACTGCTTCATTTCTAGATAAACTTATGTCGCATGGCTTCCGTAACGCTAATGACGTACCTTATTCGAACCTAAACTCAAAATTACGAGAACTTTCTGACCTAAATCAAAACCTTCCTGTTGGTGAGCTTCCTTACTGGATAGCTGCGCACTTTTAGCTTCACCCTCTATGCTGCTTGGATGCAATTTCGTTGTTCTCTCTTCCTATTGCAAAAGTATTCAAAACTGTAAATGTTCTGGAAATAGGCACGATTAGAATGCCAAGTGAATTGCCAATTTAAATAAAAATGGAATTTAATCTGTCTTTACTGTTAAGTTTCTTAGGCATTAAGGATTCAAAATGCTAACATTCTACGCAATCCGAATTCCATAAAATTTCTGTTTGCTGCTTGAGGTTTAGTTCCATTTACATCACCAGAATTATGTAAGAGTCATATGACATGGATTAATGTAGAAATGACGCAGTGCAGAGAGAGGTTACTGTTTTTCGAATTGAGAAGGGAAATTTACGCTCTGGGAAATTTACTCTTCACTTTGCGTTTCTACGTCTCAGTATTCCGCCGCCAGTGCTTCTAAAATTTGTTTTTGTTACATATATAAAAACTTTGGCCTAGTTTTATGGAACTGAGGCAAACAATAAAAGTCTACTACCGGAAAATAGTTTTATCCTAATCAGTTCGGATCATTAAAAGACTTCCGTTTCTACCGTAGACCTAGAAATGTTTCAGAATAACTAGATATTCTGTCTGTTAGAATTTTTGTTATCTATGTTATTGTGACTAATCTCTCTTGACTGACCTCATGATCAGAACAAGTCCACGAATTTATCATGGCAACGAGTACAAGATTATGTCTCACGTTGGCAACAGCCTTGGGCACCATATAGGTGACAGTACGACTTTTCCAGTTCCACCCCACTTTTAAAAAACATACAAATTACGTGTGACGTTCGCAAGAGTCGTGGGCAGCTTATAGGTGACATAACGACATTGCCCAATTCCATCCAAATTTTAAGAGATAGCACTCCGGGGGGGGATGGGTCCGAGGATCTCCCATCCCTCTTCTACCACCAAACCACACGAGAGGCTTTTCGGTTTGCCGTATATTTAGAGTGTTCACATGCCGCAAAGACATTATATACATACAAATATTCATGACTTCTCCAGGATTTTAACCCGGGCCCTCCAGTGTGGTAGTCAGAGTCACTGCCACTATCCCATTTGGTCAACGTTGTCTTGTTATGGTATATTCATCCAAGTGAATGAATGAAGTGAAATTTGAAATAAATCGCAACTTTTATAGTTTACTATTCTGTGAAATATGGTCTCTGGAGTACTACTATAAGCATTTTACGGATTTAAAATAAATTTGAAATTACATTTTAGTTCTTATTTAGTTCTTATACTGTGAGACGATTTAATATCATTTTATCATAATGATTTTGAAATAAATTAAAAAATTGTAACTGAAAAATTACTCAATCGATTATTAGACCTGCGAGAATACATTTAGAACACAAGAAATAAAGTATTATTTGATCTGGACTAATGTAAAAAATAATTGATAATAGAAATAGTGATTCTTATTTGAAGATGATAAGGATGCTCGACGTTAAAAATTTTGCCTGTTGTCACAGTACAGATTTTTATTTTTCTTTTGTAAAAATATAATGTATCATTTAAGTTCCTTAAGCTGTTATTTTATACTAATTTTCTATTCTATCGCCCTAATTTCCATTTTCCTGCCAGAATGTAAATTTCTATCTTGCGCGATATTCAAATGAGGTAGAAAGAAGAGACTACTTAAAGGAAGATTTTAGAGGATAGAATTAGGTAGTGTTATGTCTGCTTGAAGACTACATTGTTAAATTTGATTCTCTTGAGATTGACATTCTGCGATGTTGAGTTGTTCTTGATATTAGGCTTGTTTACGCCGATCTTAAGCCACAGCCAGCTTACGCGCCTTTCAGTTGAATAGCCGTTAGGCTAACTTAATTTCCCATTATCTTTAACTTGAGCCATAATCTTTAAGCCATAATTGTTGGCTTCTGTTAGTTCGAATTGGTGCAGCGATAATTCGCATGTCGTCTTATAGAATTTTGGATCTAGTTTATATTGCTTAAGATCAAAAAACAAAAACTGTTAGTATTTATGTTGTTATTTGTTAAAAGAAAATGATATAAATCATTTAAAACAGTTACCAAATGCCAATGATAACTCCATTCTTCTTTGTTGTTATTTCTGGTCCATTGCAATCTATATTCCATGTCTCCAGTGGCGTAATGTCTGGGGCTGATGATTTATTATCCGTATCGAGAATATGAAATCGAACTTCCTTCAACCACTCCTGTGAAAAACATAGGACTTTGTTTAATATAAAGTTGGTAAAAATATGAAGCAATGATTCTGTGTATCACTGTGCATGATATCAATTGATGGAGTATTTATATTTTGTGTATTATACACAAGAACGCGCATTTAACTTTCTGTCTCCTGATGACGAAATACCAAGATATGCTTCTGCTTAACATGTAGAATAAAATTTTGCTCAGCAAAAAGATAGATTCCTTATTTGTTATTGCATAAGCCCTGTAAAAAACACACCTTGTCGTAAATTAAATAAAAATAGGCCGCCATAAACAAAGCTGCCATTTTTTTTCTTGATTAGTTAGAAATGATTTAATTTAAGTTTATTTTTAATTATGTCCATTTAAGCAAATATTCAAGACACCGTGACACATGAAAATGTTGAAAGTCACGAAATAACACATTATCTCAAATTTCATTCTTCTTTTTACCAGTTTTCTTCCCCCTTACAAGAATTAAAGGAATTAATGTAATCGCGAAACATTTCACAAAATCAAATTTTCAAAGAAACTATCCATTTTGACAGCTTTCGAATCCATTTGAGCCATTTTTTTGCATGACATGTGTACATATGAAGAGAATATAGGATTTTCTTTCCGAAACTTATTGCAAAATGGATTTAAACTGTATTAAGAAGAGATTTTTTGGTGAGGTCTGTAGGTTCGTATGTATCTCTCATAACTCAAAAGTGAGTAGCCGTAGAAAGTTGAAGTTTTGTATATAGAACTCCTATAACATCTAGTTGCGGACATCGCTTTTTCGTTGCAATCATCCTCACCAAACATATAAAACCCTCTTACCAGGCTTGGTGAACTCAGTATTTTAATTCTTATATGTTGGAAAATAGTCTTTTGTTTTAAAACTGGTTGAATCATGTTGTTTCTACGTTCTGCTTAGAGCTTTTATGCCTTTAGTTAATCTGCAGGCACTAGTTGTAGAAGTATAAATAATTTAAAATTGTGTTTAGGCGCCTAGTGAGGCCGCCATTTTTTTTTTACATTTGAAACTGTTGGTAAAATAATGAATAAAGTCAGTTGGTGCACCAACACCAGAGCCTTTTCGCCCAGTGGGACCAAAAATTAACTTTCAGTTTTGTGCAACGAAAATTTTATCTTCCTGTCTATTGAACAAATTGCTTGTTTTTGCGTAGAAACTCTAATTTTAATTGAAAAAAAAAATGTTCTAACTGTACTTGGCATTTTAGGTTTTATCAGTATTTTACAATTTTTAATAAAGATGTTTTGAACTTAATTTAGAAATCAAATAACAAAAATCAGCGTTATATTTGCAAATTTTCACAGCTGCCAAAGCGAAAAAAAAATTATCCCCCCCCACACTTTGGCGGTTCAGAATGATAATTTGGTAAAACCATCGAAACTAGTTCTATGAAAATTGTTGTTGACTTGTTGACACTTGTTACTGTTATGACTAATCTCTCTTGCCTGAATCAGAACAAGCCCACAGAATTCATCGTCGCAAGGAGTACAAGATAATGCCAGTAGTTGGCAAGGGTCTTGTGCACCATATAGGTGGCAGAATGATTTTGCCCAGTTCCACCCCAATTTTGAGGAAAGTAACCTCAGGGTCCGAAGTTCTTCCACCCCCCTTCCTCTACCACCAAATCACACGAGAGGATTTTCCGTTCGCCATATATTTAGAGTGCCTCATACTGCAAAGACACTATACAGTTACAAACATCCGTACCTTCCCCGAAATTCGAACCTGGGCCATTTGGTACGGTACTCAGGGTCTCTAACCAATATCCCGTTTAGGCGGCATAATATACATTTAAAACCGCCCATTACTTCTCTGGGATGCCCCGTCCTTGTGGCAGCCACCTTTGTTAATCCCTATACTAATATTAGAGCGGTTACATTACTAAACAATAGGACCGTTGCTTAATAGTATCCTGCATTTTTAGAAGGATTGTTTAAAGTACGACAATACAAAAAGCATTACGAATGTATCTCATGTGTAGGTTCCAGCCTATTTATGAAACTTTTGAATTCAAACCTTCCTTTTTGTACCGGTAACTTTGTGCTAAGGCACTGCAGAAGCTTTTTGTTTTGGATGGCCGGCACTGGCCAGTTTTAGGCTTTGGTCACTACTAAGGCCAGAGAAGCTGGGGTCATTTTTTTATGGAGGCATGTAAAAGGCGGCCACCATTACCTCCTATGAAAGGACAGACAATTTACATCCATGCCTTCTCCGGGATTCGAAGCCTGGCCCTTCGGTACGGCAATTAGAGTCACTAGCCACTTTACCGTCTGGACGGTATAGAAACTAATTTAAAATTTAGAATTAGACAAAACGTATCTTTAAATTGACAGCACTTGACTTGAAAAATTATGGGCATTTCGAAACTGTCTGACACGGGCTTCTTTTTTTCAAGAACAAAAAATTTTCTGCAAAAAAATTTAATTTTGGCAAAATTATTCTGATGAGATTATTTTCGTCGTTCTTTGAAGAAAGGAGATCCGTGTCATTCTCCTTGAAAATGCAACGTGTTTTCTTGCAAAACCCTCCGTCAGTCAAGTTGAATTTTGTATAATTTTAATTATTGTTAATTATTGTACATTCTACTTTAAAAATCGTATTGTTATTATGAGTCACCATTTATGAAAATATCTCACAGCAGGACGCAACTTTTCGATTTCAAGAACTTTAAAAAGACTTGTTGACAACATGTGGGACGAGCGTGATTGATGAAGGCATTGGAAGACACTCATAAGCACTGAACCAGTCGCAAAGGCGGTGAAAAATAATGGAGAACATAGACGGCGGCAAATAGTTTTCTTTCTTATGCATTATGATGAATCTAGGTCATGAAATAAAAAAAGTTTGTGAATAAAATTTGTTTTCTTAGATCTGCATGGATGCACATAGCAGTCAGGAAGAATAAACAGTGAAAAATAGTGAACACTATGTGGTTACATTTTAGAGAAAGTTGACAAAACAAAATGCCACGGACATATGAGAAAAAAAATTGTATAAAATGTATGTTTATTTTTAATTGTTAATTTTATACACTGTATTATTGTTAATTTTATACGCTGCCACGTTTAACCGGGTACGTAACAATAAGGAATTACTATTATATTCATCGATACCACGTTTGATTTAGTTTTTTAAGGCATTCTATTTCCTTTATATAGCGGGATAACATGTAAACTGCCAGCGATTATATATTCTATATTACGCATTTTGAAATTTGTCGGATATTACATGGTGGACTAAGAGGATGTTTACGTGTATGGATTTGTGCGCAGGAATTATTGACAGCATCATTAACGACTTTCGTTAGAATATCATTTTATTATTTTAAACTCCTGAATATTGTTAATTTTGGGATTTCCTTTGATGATGAACTAAGTATTTGTGATTTTTTATTTGGGGATGTTAGTACTTTCGTACATTGTTTGTAAAAAGGAATAGTTCTTAATATAAAAACAAACTGAATTGTGATCAGTTGAAAGTGTTGAAAATACTTCAACCGAATAGTTTATGCATTACAATTAGCGAGGGATATTTTTACGTGCATAGGCAATCATGCTACCGCTTCTGTTAGTGCGTATGTTTATCCTGGGAAGGTTTGGTTTAGGTTTATGAGATTACAGCAAAGGCTCGAGGGCTATCTGCCTAAGAGGAGGGATGTCTTCGTGGATTACTTTTAAAGGGAAACTGGCTTGTATACAAGTTATACATGGGGACAAACCCGAAAACGCCCATGTAGCCAGCCCATTCGCGGGATTCGAACCTCGGACCGAACTACCAGTGTTCGATGACTTTTACCGCTTGGCCTCAGGTGGGCCCTATCCTGGGAAGGAGTAAATTGAAATAAGGTTTCAAATGTGTTTCTTGAATGAAGATGATGTATGGATTTTCAACTTCAATCAGAAGAATTAAGTTCTTCCTGGCTTAAAAGGCTTCTAAGACATGATACACATACTATTTAAATCCTATTACTTTAAATACTAACGACTATTTAAAGAAGTTTGACATGTTCAGCTAACTTTCCTAAAAAATCTTCAATGAGGTCTTATCATCAAGGAAAAAAAAAACACTGTTAATTTTTTAACTAAACGAGAGATGTCATAATAAAGTTCCATATCTTTTTCAGGTAATAAAAGTCAAATAGATCTGAAGCAGAGCCGGAGGAGTTGTTTGTATTAGCAGTTGTGTGAACGAAACCGATCTGAGCAGAATTCAATGTGCCAGAAAGATTTAGGAACTGTTGGTTGTATTTACGATCATTAAGGAATTTACATATTCTTTTCAATTCAAGGATCTGTGATCCGGGAATGAAGCTCTTTCATGTGATGAATTTTAGGACTAAGTTATTTTGACATGAATAACGAGGACATCGTGTATAATTTGCTGGATGAAGTTCCCAACAATGGTCATATTTCGTTGATTCGTAACGTACGCTGATTGGTATTTGAGTAACTTACACTGACTTAAAAAGTGAACTACTCCGCAACTAAAACACTCTGGATTTCATATGCATTAGAACAAGTTATGATCAAATTCCAGATAGAGAAAACATTATTCTGGTCCAGGTTTTCTACTTACGCCTCAGTTTTGATTTTAAGATAGCAAAGCTGAGTGAGATTAAAGATTTCTTTGTTCTTTTCCGAGACTGAGATATATATCAAAAATACAGTCTGTGTCGTGTGTACATTCGAATCTAGCAGGTTGTGAGTAATTTCTGTGGGATTTGCTGTAGAAGGTAGACTTATTATGAGCCTTGAAGACCACTGGAATCTACGAGTTTCCTGATGAGTTCCCGTTCTTCTGAATTGACTTGTTGAAATTTTGTTTCAAATTGTTCGAAATACTTGGGAGGTATTTGCCATAAATTATTCAAAGTGAGGTTTTGCTTGAGTATGAGCTTCTAGTGTCAATTGCTGAACTGCTGTTTTGTGGGCATCTGCATATTTAAAATAATATTCATGATAAGAATAGTTATTTGTGTCATAAAATTATACGTTTGTTCGCTGTTAATACATAAGTGAAATTTTTTAGTAATCGCAATCATTTCTGCTAATGACTGAGACTGATCGGTACTGACGTCTTCTGCTGTGTCGCAATAGCAGGATATTTCAACAGCACGACCTCCACTAGTATCGTTCATTTTCCAGAATTCACGAAAGTTCAGAGCACTCCAAAGTCTGCTAGAGACTTAAAGTTCTGACCGGCAGGGGGTGCACTAAGACAGTGGTCGGCAAACCGTGGCTCGAGAACCAAATGTGGCTGTTTGGCTCCTTGAGTGTGGCTCTTCCACAAAATAGCACACGCAGGCGCGCTCACGTAAAAGCAATAAAATCTTGAAAATACAAGGTAAAAGCTGTCAAATTTTACAACATGAAAAGAACTGAAAACATATCCCCAATGTTATTCCCAGGGAACGTTTTTTGAACCGATTTCGGCGTTTTGATTTTACTCATTATACATCAAATTGTGATGTCGGGTAATTGTCATATGCCAAATTTTAACTAATGAAACGCTTTGAATTAATATACCGGCAATTTTTACTTGAATGAGAAGCCAAATAACGTAAAAATGAAGTTTAGTTTCAAAATATCAGGAATTTTAGCTTCTGGACATTTCAAATTTGAAGTTTTTTTCCAGTGTCTGAAACAAAAATTTTCCTAGTTACTGAAATTAGGTAACATAAAATACATAGACGATGTCTAGGTCGCATATAATAGGAAAAAACTTCAAACTGGAAATGTCTAAGTGATTTGGTGTATCACATAAAAATTGCCATTGTACTGATTCTAATACGATTTTTACTGATGCATTGATAAATAGGCCATTGTACTGATTTCAGTATAATGACTCATTTATCAATCACGAGATATTTACCATTGTGTCATTCATCAAGAAGCACTTTGTGCGCAGACATTTCCAAAAAAAAATTTGCAGAGTTATAGAATTAGTGATTAAGATTATCAACTCCATTATAGCTAAAGCTATTAATCATCGCTAGTTTAAAGAATTTTTAGTTGAAATGGAGAGGGATTACGCAGATCTTCTGATGCATAACAAAGTACTTTGGAAAAAGGAAACGTTTCGCATCCTTATCAACAGAAATTAAAGCATTTCTACTTAAAAAGGGTGTTTATTATCAAGAATTAACGAGCGCTCAGTGGATCCAAAAATTTCATTTCATGGTGGACGTTACGTCTCATCTAAATCAACTTAATTAAAAACTACAGTGGAAAGGAAACACAGTTTTTTCGATGTTAGATGAAGTTATTTTATTTGAAAACAAATTATCTCTTTTTGCTCAAGGTTTTGAAAGAGAAACTTTGATTCACTTTCCAAGCCTATTGAAACATTGTTAGGAAAATAATTCTGATATTGACATTTGCTATTTCATGACATTGGCAACTTTGAAATCCAATTACTGGATTTAAAAAACAAAAAGTTATGAAGCTTGAAATTTAAACGTCTTAACGCTGATATAGAAACATTGGAGAAAAATAAATGTGAGCTTAGCTCACAGCACAAACAACGGCCTGCTTAGAAAGTGGCTCAAGCTTTTGGTCTGCTGGAGAAGGAAGATATGTTGATTTTTAACATAGGGAAGAGTATTCCTGACTCATGTAATCAGCTGAAAAAAACTAGCTTTCGCTGTTCTTTCCTTATTCGGGTCTTTTCATGTCAGAATCATTTTCAAGCATGAAGCTTATCAAGAGTAAATTGAGAAATCTTATTAATGAGAACTTGGAATCATGCTTAAAATTAAAAACAACAACAAACAAACCTGAGTTACACAAACTTTATAAGGAGATGCAAGGCCATTGTTCACATTAGTGTTTGTTCGTCATTATCATGATTTAAGTTTTTGTATACCTTACGATTTTATGTTATCAATAAGTAGTATCGTTGTTAGTTTTATTCGACATACCTACATAGTTTAACTGAGACTTAAAAAAATTGAAGTATTAAGTTAATTTTAGGGAGTGTTCTTGAGTGAAAAAAAATGTAATGTTGAGAACTGAAATATGTATGTTAAGCTGGTTTGAACATATAAAGAGGATGAACGAAAGAAGATACCCGAAACGAGTATAGAAGACAAGTGTAGATGAGAGAGTTGGAAGAGGGTCAACCTCAGAGAACATACGTTGATCAGATTAAAGACGTTCTTAGTAAAAGGCCAGCGCGAGAATACCCTGATTAAATGAATAACAATATATCTACCTAGATAATTTTAATTTAAAAAATGGGGCTCTCAAAAGAGATTTCAATCGTTGAACTGTTGATAATTGGCCCTGTTGTCTAAGGTGTTTGCCGACCACTGCACTAAGAAAAACCAAAATTTCCGAAAACTCCCATGAGAAAGCAATATTTTCTTGATTTTAATACCAAAATGCACCTGATACATTACGCTTGGATTTATGTGTTTTTAATAGGCCTTAATTTCTTGGACCATTTCAATATGCACGTATACCTTCTTACAGACATCACAAAATATTCTAGGCAGTCAGAGGGTTTTAAGTCACGTTAAACTTAGCTCACTTCGAGAAATAAATTCTCAAAAATTAGATAAATATGCAAAATTAGGTGAAAATAAAATTCTGAAAATTATTTCTTGAAGAAAGCCAATATGCAAAACAAAATCAAAATAACAACTTTAAAATTTTTGTTCCTCAATTCGGAAATTCATTAGGCTTGCTAGAAAATGAAAATATCTCCTTGCTTGTAAATAGTCGAGTCTTATGATTAAATTCGAAATATAAATATCTTACACGTTGCCGAAAGATAAAGCATTGGCGTGAGTAAAATAAAATGTTTTACTTCGAGCAGTTGCAACGCATAGTTATTAAACCGCTGCTTTTGTTAATCAAATATTCATTAAATTCGGACAAAATATGAAATAAATCAGAAAAAAATTCGAAATTAGGGCTTTGAGGTACGTATGTTCATGCTGAAGATTATGTGCGTTCAGAATTTGGTGACTTAAGGACCGCCATCCATCTATACGTACATCCATATATACATACATACATACAGATTTTTCATTATTTAATAATTGAAATTAGCTATCATGTGTTTCCTAGCAACCATTTCTTATTATTGAAAGCGTCTATTTAAAGTAATTTGGCTTCTCTTTTGACACATTAGGAGTAAATATTTTATGCCTGATTTTACGTATTGAGATAAAATCTGAAAAAATTAGCTCGAGTGTGAGTTTTCTTCTCTTTGTTTCATTCATAAGAGATCTATTAAAATAGCATAGTATAAAACACATTTTTTGTATTCTGGGATAATTAATTGTGATTGGAATATCTGAAAATAAAAGAATGAAAATGTACCAAGATATTTTTCACATTAAAAATAAATTTAGATTTTTGGTTGACTTTGAAATTTTTTTCTTACTTTTGTGTGCGAAGTACGGAAGTATTGTAATCGCAAAAAATTTCGGGTTTCATAATTCAACGGAAACATCTATTTTGACCGTTTCGAGTCCATTTGGAAGTTTTCTTTTTTTTTTCCCGTGTCGTCTGTACGGACAGAGTAAAGGATTTTCTTTTTCTAAAACATATTTTGAAATGGATTTTAGATGGATTCAGAAGAGATTTTATTTGTAATGTCTGTACGTACGTACGTATGTATCTCTCATAAATCAAAAGCGACTAAAGTAGACCGTTGAAATTTTGCATATGGGAATTCTATAATATCCAGTTGTGCATTTACATTTTTACTGCAATCGGCAGTAACAAAAATGTGCATAGTATATGAATATATCCGCTTCCCTTTAAAAGTCCTGGATTTAAATTCCTTACTCCGTCTTTATTTTCGCAATCGTGCGTGTACGCGGATTGTAGTCATACATTTCCAGTTACATAAGTGTTTGATATGATGAAAATATTTATACTTTAGCAGCGTCAAATTTTTAAAAAGTAATAATTTTCGACAAATAACGAAATCTAAATTTTAATGTTGGTTCCAGGTTCCTACACTTTTACTTGGGAACATTTCATACTCGTTAAGAAAAAATAAAATTATACAAAGTTTGGCTCTTATACGATAAAAATTGACTGGGATATCTAATTTCAAAATTTGCAGTCTTTGATGTCATTTTCAATTTCCTTGAGGAATCGATTAATTAAGTTAGAATGATTCGAGGAAATAAGTTTAAACGAAGTGCATCAATAAATGTATGTGATTTGATAAGCCTTATAAGGAAGTCATGTTGTGTCCCCCTTAGTCCATTTTCGAAACTAAGGTATGTAATTTTACATAAAATATCTATAAATTTACAATATAATATGTAAAATTTTATATTATACTTTAATGCTCCTTTTTGGAAACGGCAAGCAAATTTCTCATAGATGTATAATATTTTCAATTTAAATTTAAACATGCTGTGTAGGTGATGCACAGAACTTTAATACTTAGACAATGCAGTTAAAGAGGTAAATCTGGGCTATTAATCGTAACAAATTTATACAAAATCATAAATATAAAGTTTGTCATTCAAGAAACAATAAATATTTGTCTTACCATATAAGTAGACCAACCCTTTTGTTCCACAATAGATGTCATGTTATTAGATTTGCACAGAGCACAAGTTATCTTCACGTTCTTTTTCGGTTTGTTTGCAGTTTTATTGCTATAAACATGGTTAACGGAAAACATACCACATTCTTTTCTCAGCTTGCAAGCCGTTGCACAATTCGACAAGGAATGAGTTGAAAAAGTTTCAATTCTTGAAAGAGAATCGCATTCTAAATTCTCGTCGATTAATCGGTACAAGTTATCATTTTTAGCCACAGCAAAACAGATAGTCAGGGCCAAATAGGTGGAAAAGGGTAATTTATTGAATTTGCAGCAAAGTTTAGATTTTCGAGGCATCACCGCTATTTCTTTATCGGCTAATTATTCAAGATAATTAGAAATATTTATATAAATACCTTGATAAAAAGTTAAAGGATTATTATTTCAATAAAAGGAACTTAATTGTAATGGTTATTAAGAGTTTTAAGGCTCAGAGAATTCTGAGAAAAGGACACAGTGCTAGAAGCTTATCAGTGCTTATCGGCCACTAGACTTAATTCTAGCTAAGTATCGTAGAAAGGCGAATCTTCTTTCATATAAAATATCGCAGTCAGATATAGATTACAGAATATTTCTTATTATATAAAGATTTCAGTTTCTTGAATTAGCTTGCAACAGTCTCTTGTGATTCTGGAAATATTTTAACCACACCATTTGGCTGAAAGCCGTTGCGTTCTGAGTTGCTTTGTCCGTAAATCTGAGTTAGGGCGCAGGTAATTCAAATATATCCTGAAAAAGAAACAACTTTAGATGCGAGTGATGATACGATTGCGTGATAGTTTGCAATGGCATATCAAGACACGCCTGTCTCGCTTCTTACAGAATTAAATGCATGAGGGAATATTTAGGGTGATAATTCTTGCCGGTTGAGAAAATGAACTTCCATTAAGGACTAGAAACTGGCGTTTTTAGTCAAATGGAAATTTATATAATGCCTCGTAATGACAGGTTTGTAGTTTAAACGTTATGCTGTAATCATTTCTGTTATATTAAAGGTTTAAATCATTTGAAGAAAATGTTTTAGGTGATTTAATTAATTAAATTTACCCGACATATTTGTATTATTCACTTTTATAAACCTCATGTAATTTAAAAAAATATTTTTAAAAATATTTTAACAAGGGATGTTATATTTAGCATAAACAATAAATTGAAGAATGCATAAAGTACTATTTTGTTTTCTGTATAAAAATTTAGAACAATTTTTTAAAGAAAAGCATGCAATATTGCCGATTTAAGTAGCAGATACAGGGGTTGGACAAAAATATGGAAACACCTTTAAAAAAACATGTTTCTTTGCTTAATATGGTGTAGGAAACCCGTTGGCATCCAAAACAGCTTGCAGTCTTCTCGGAATGGATAAATACAGTTCCTGTATGTTTGCCAAGGGAATATTATACCATTCTTCCTGCAAAACGGTGGCAAGTTCAGATAACGATGTTGGCGGTGGATAACGAGAACGTACTTTCCGTTCCAATGTAGACCACAAAGGTTCGATAATATCCAGGTCTGGTGACTGTGGTGGCCAGGGAAGATGGGGCAACTCATCCTCGTGCTCAGAAAACCAGTCCTGCACAATGTGAGCTGTGTGAACAGGGGCTTTGTCGTCTTGGAAGACACCATCACCATCGGGGAACAAAGTTTGTACCATGGGATGAACTTGATCGGCCAAAATGTTCACGTAAGTCTTGGCAGTCATGTGCCCTGACACACAGTTATCATGGGGCTAGCAGAGAACCACGATATGGCTGCCCAAACCATAACAGAACCCTCGCCATGTTTCACTCTTGGCAACAAGCAGTCTGTCTTATAGGCTTGAGATGGCGTTCTCCAGACGTAAATTCGGCCAGAAGTGGGAAACAATGTGAAAGAAGAATCGTCAGTCCATATTACTCGCTTCCACTGCTCTATATTCCAGGCTTTATGACTTAAACACCACCTTTTACTGTTACGGGCATTAGCATCACTGATGAGTGGCTTCTCAATTGCCATCACGGCCAGCAATTCCCTGTTTATGAAGCTCCCTTCTAATTGTTTTGGTACTCACAAGGTTCGGTAAACAACATTCATTTCAGCAGTAACTTTTGCAGCTGTGGTCTTCTTATTTTTCGTCACAATTGTCCTTAATGATCGTCTGTCACGATCACTCAGGACACACTTTCGTCCGCACTGTGATTTAGCAGATGATGTTTTTCCGCTTTTCAAATATGCGGAATAAATCTTCGACACAGTACCTCTTGAAACACTAAACAGCTCGGCTACCTTGCTTACGGAAGCACCTACCATACGTGCTCCAACAATTTGCCCACGTTCGAAGTCTGTTAACTCTGACATAATGCAATGACAACGTCACATAACAGTACTCCGACAACAACTGAACTGTTTAGCACATTTACGAAGTTGTATAGGTGGCGTCAGTAGTCAAAAACGCCAGCGCCACCTACATATTTCATTAAAATCAATCTTTCTTTTTCAAACATGCATTTCACAAGGTGTTTCCATATTTTTGTCCATCCACTGTATGTGATCAAATAGTGTTGAAATAAATAACTTTATTTTTATTCAAAAATATCTCATAAGAAGAATATCAGTTCTTAAAAGCCTTTAAAGAGGAGTGATGCAATTAAAATATAAAGTTCTTTTTTGAAAACTTGTTTTATTCAGGAAAGAAATCAAATTTCAAATATTTAAATTTGTTTAAAAGTATTAGTCCAAGAGTTTATTACTGCTTAAAGAGGAAGAATATAAACCCTCATTTCTGGATGGGATTAAAACTGAGGCACCCGAGAACATTGTGCAGCCTTCGTAAACTACCCACGTCGTAAAATCAATTCTGCTAATGATTACGAAATCATGGTCAATGGCCAAATCGGTGGTTTGCCTGTAGTTTATAGAAAATGCACGGCGTTGTGTCTATAACAAGAAAAGACCAAGAGCAAAGTTTGAAAGCAAAAATTGTTTTGAGAGCAATTTATGGTTGCATAAGCTCCTTCGAACTATATGAATGACTACAATATGGACCCGGATTGAGCACGTTAAGTGAGATTACGTCATCGGCCTGAAAGTGATTGGTTAATTCAATCGATGCATGGCTAGGGCAAGGACTGGATGGCTATGGAAATTTTGTAGCCATGCGCCGTATTTATGTTCACGTGAGGACATTATGGTAACTGCATATATGGATAGTTTTATGGTTGTTGTTAATAAGTCATTAAATTACCAGTAGAGGTAAAACTTCTGATTTAGACAGCTTCGATCTCGCACACATAGTAGGCGCTCGAAGCATGGGCCATGCAATTTCTGAAATCATCACAGGGCTAGGATTCTCAAGATCGTCAGTGTCAAGTATACAGAGACAGAGACTATACAAATGGGGGAAGGGAAAAACTAGCAATCGGGAAAATTACAAAGGACAATTAGCTTTGAACGAACGTGGTGTGAGACGGCTCAGCCGTATTGTATGAGCATGAGCGTATTTTATGAGCCGTATTGTATGAGCATATTGTATGGGCTGGCTGCATGAGCGTTTTCTCTCATGTGTAACATGTGAACAGTTTCCTTTAGAAAGTCATCCACGAAGGCATCTCTCTGCTTAAGCAGATGGCCGTGGAGTGCTCTGCCATATTTAAATAAACGAAGTAATACTTACTAATGAAAGGTGATGTCTGGGTATCGCCCACACTTCTACCTCTGCTATTATTCACTCGCTTGATAAATTCCTAGAGAATTAATCCCAAAGGTTCCTTTTACCATCGACGGATGAGACTAAAAGTCAGCAGTATAGCTTTCAAGATAAATTTTAAACAGAACCTTCCGTTTTCCCTATAGAAGAGCCTGGAAATGTTAAATTGCTCTAAAATTACTTGCTTGGCTTTTTGATGAGACACTGGACATGTTGCAATGGCCAGAAATTCTGATTATTATAAAGAAGTTAAGAGTATTGTCAGACATCCTTAAATTATAAAAACTCTATTGAATGAAAATTTTGTACTCTTCTAATAATTAATTATTTAATTTATAAAACGACGAAGGTAAAGGTACGTAGGAAAAGGAACCATTAGAAGGAAACGAATAGAATAATGACGAAGTCAAAAAGAAACGTTAAAAATTTTGGATAGACCTTTTATACACTGCCTGTACATGAACGTTGCTCCCCCCCCAACCGGGATAGTGGTTAGGGACTCTGACTGCCGTACTGAAGGATTCGAATTTCGGAGAAGGCATGGATGTTTGTAAATGTATAGTGTCTGTGTGTATAGTGTGTCATGGAGGCACTCTAAATATTCAGCGAGCCGAAAGTCCTCTCTAGAGGTTGGTAGAAGGGTAAGAGGGGTGGGACTCCCTCGGACTCGTTCTTTCAAAATTGGGGGTGGAACTGATCTAAAGTCGGGCTGTCACCTATATGTGCTCACGGCTCTTGCCAACGACAGGCGCATTTGACTTCTGGCCACGATGAAGGTCGTGAGTTTGTGCTTACCATTGCCAAACAAGTGAGACTGGTAACAATAACAGGAACTCTGAAAAATAAGGTACTCTTTGTTTAGTAAACTATAAATAAGCTATGAAAATTTCTTAATTTTTATAAAAAAATTTTTATAAAATTAATAATTCATAAATCCACAGCGAGTCTTCTCATATCTCTTCCACTGAAATTGGATGATCCGCTTACGAATGCTGAACACGCTGCCTTCATAACTAAGCACGCACTTGTAAATGCAATTCCAATTTCTGCCACTTTCTTTTCAGAGACTAGACGGAATAGAGTTATTATTTATTTATTAAACAGTTTCCTCCCTACTCGGCTTCACCTTTTTAAAAGAATCAAGTATTCACTTTTAGTTTCGGTTGCATCGCAAATTTTGTTTATGCTTTCTTTTAATACTTGAAAGCAATTCTATAGCTAAAAGAAAAGTACCACATTTTTAAACATGTGGACATCGGTGTTTCATTCGCATACATAAATTATTTAGAGCCATATTTGCACACGAAAGGGAAGATAAGATTCTGCAAAGTGCATTTATTTTGCAAAAGTGATCGAAATCCCTTATAAAAGAATGTAATAAGAATTTTTAAAGGCGTTTAAGAAAAGTACTAGCTTTTATTATGTCTAAATATTAATTTTTAAATCCATGAATTAAAAATGGGCATATACGGGCGTCAAAAAGGGGAAATGATAAAGAGGGTATCATTTTTGGTTGGTTTCTATAATTACGGCAAAACCTCGAGGACTATTTGCTAGAGGGAAGGATGTCTTCGTGGAGGACTTTCTTAGGGAAACTGGCTCGTAAACACGTTACACTGGGGAAAACCACGAAAACGCCCATGCAGCCAGCCCGTTCGAGGACTGTTGTCCGAAATCTGGCCACAGGACGGCTAGAAGGCAGTTGGGCTTTAACTTTTCATTCAATCGGGATGACTCTTGCATTTTACAAATTCTTTATTTACTACACTAAATATATACAGTATTTCCGAATAGCTTCGGAACATTCTTAACCTCAATCCCATTGTCTCGCTTCCGATTCTCGATTACCATCGTGCGCCCTCTATCGGCGGCTGTTTCACAATGCCATCCATCGGCTGATAGCAGAACCTCGACCGAACTACCGGTG